TGCCCCATCCCACACAATAGTGGAGTCTGCTGCTCCCCGTCTCCTTGCCTGTTTGCCTTCCAGAGCCAGGCAGAGTCTTGCCATCACTATTATTTTGCTTTGTGTCAATATTATGACAGCTAAAAGCAGGAGAACTGCATCCACATGATAAGCAGCCAGAAGCTCTGGGTTGGGTGTGGATCAGGTTCCAGTTTGGCAGGGGAGAAAAGTGCCTGGCAGCCCCTGCCCACTGGCTGGCTGGGCCGGGAGAGCTGGGAGGTGAGGGGCAGCAGCAGAGCAGCAGGCAGTTCATGCCTATGTACCTCTGCTCTCCATTCAGTGCTCACTGCCCTTTTCCCAGGGTAAATGAAACATGATAAATGTGCAGAATATGCTTGCTTCTCTGGTGGAAAAAAAACCTCTATCTGCTTCCTGGGGAGAGAGCTGCTCTGCTCCCACTGGGAGAGTCTCACCCCTCCCGCAGTTACCATACCCTGTGCCTCCCACCCTGTGCAGGTCCAGGGTGTTCCATCCCTGCCAGTGGCGGAAGGTCACACACACTACTACACCAGTCTGTCCTGGCCACAGCCTTGTTTTTCCCAAACAGCATTCTGCAGCTGCTGGAGAATAATTCCTGCTGGCTTTCTGGGGTTTGGAGGCTCAGGTCCCACGTGAGGCTTCAGGAGAGGAGCTTGGACAGAACAGGGTGAGCTGTGCTGTGGGTGCTGTGTCACTGTGGACTCTCTGCAGCTCATGTGCAAGGGGCTGTTGTTTTTGCACAGTGACTCTGCTCGCTGTTGGGGCTGCTGACAGAACACTTACCTGTAGGCACCCACGTGTGCTCAGGGTTGCAGTTTGGCTCCTCACCCTGCTCCTGGGTTGTGCTTTCCTGCAAACATCCATAGTCTGGCCAGTCCCTGCCGCATGTGGCTGCCCAGCCCCTGGACACTGAGCACGGGTACCCAGCAGGGTGTGCTCCCTAGTCCCCTCCCCACATCAGGCACAGCTGACTGATGGCTGGGCTGGGAGGTGGCCTGTGGTCATTAACCCTCCCATCCACTTCTGGCATTGCTTTGCTATCTTCCCACAGCTTTGTCCTGGTGGGAAGGCAACTCTGTCCCCTGCCCCAGGCTCAGTCTCATCTCTGAACTAAGCCTGCACTGAAAGTAGAAGTGCAAAGCTGAGCAGTACTGGGTCTGCCAACACTGACCTGTTCCTGGAGCACTGGCTGGATGAGGGCCACGGCTTCCCAGGGCTTGGATTTGGCAATCTCAAGGACCACCTCCTCGGTGGCATTGTTCCTGTCCCCATGGGGGATTTAAGTCATGCCTGGAAGCAGCACCCAGGCTTACCACGGGTTCCCATTGCCCAGGTCCTCTGCCTTGAGTGCTCTCAGGTAGCCCTGGTGCCCATACCATGCCCCTCCGAATCTCTTGTATGACCTAGGCCAGCCCCCAGTGCCGGTGACCCATGGGGACCAAATCCTGCTGTCCCAAGGCACAGGACTGGACTGTCAGGTGCCTGTGGTTTTGGTTGTGGGTCCCCAGGGAGGCTGAACTCCCCTCCCCAGGAATCAAAACAAACACCAGAGTTCCTGCCACGTGCGGCCAGGGCTGACTAAGGCCGGACGCTTCCGTCTGCCGCGGGCAGCAGCGGCCGGGGCTGCGAGCCACCACCATTGGGTGCACGGCACAGCCCATTTCCCCCTATTGTCATCCTCCCCCTCAGCAAACACAGCCCCCTGTGCACCTGGGCTGGGAGAGGCACTGACGCCACTGTGGCCAGCCGCCAGGGATGAGAGATGTGATGCCGAGGGCATCTCGTGGAGTCAGAGCTGCTGCAGCACAGCTCTGAGGAGTCCTTAAGGGCCCAGGTAGGTTGTTTGCAAGTTGTTTCCTTGAGGAGCAGCAGTGACCATCCAGGGGTCACTGGAGAGCCCCGCGTTTCCCAGAAGTCAGCAGCAGTCTCCTGGCAGACAGAGAATTGTCCAGAGGCTAGGGCTGGGGAAGCCCCTGCCAGACCATTCCCATCCTCATTCTCACTCTCAAATGCATCCAGCTCCAAGCATCCAGTCTCAAGCTCATCTGTCTTCCACCTTGCATCCCCACTGCAGAGACACAAGCTGCAGATAATTGATCTGGTTTATCTCAGCATTAGCCATTGGACCAAGCCACTGATAGTAGAGCTTAGGAGAGTCTCTTAGGAGAGATCAGGGCCAGGGAAAGCAATCAAATGAAACAGCAAGGGTGAGACATGGGTGCTGTGGGATAAAGGGTAGGTGCAAGGAGCCCAGTGCCTTGCAACCTTGTGCTGCTTTGACCTCGGGAGTGCATTCACAGTGCAGAACGTAGGTAGCTACTGGAGGGGCTCTTACCCATTGGGGTCAGCCGCAGAGAGGGTGACTGTGCCAGGTGCTGGAGCACAGAGGGTTTGGCACTTCCCTTGACAGAAGCCTAAAGCTTTGATGAGACTGGTTCTCTGAGGGCTTCAGGGGTGATGCAGGAGATCCTTAAGCCTACGGTCAGCTTAAGAGTGACTCAGAGACAAGTTTTTGTTGGGCTCTTTCCACGTGATATGCCAAAGGTGGGATTTTGCAGGGGATAAGATGCCCACAAAGGGATTTTGATGCTGAAATGGGGCTGTTTTATGGAAAAGGTGACTCAGAGGGACCTCACCTGCAATGCACAGGGTGAGGTTTTGCAGGGGAGAGCAGCTGCCTGCTCTGGGCTCCTTCAGTGGTCATGGGCAGCCAGGGGTCTTGCTCTTGCCCCTTACCCAGAAGATGTAGGCAGCATGGAGGTGACCCTGTTCCCTGGCAGGGATGTGCCATGGCATGCTTGCAGCTGGGTGCCAGGACTGGCCTTCCCCACGGGCACCCAAGGTTCACTGGCAGCAAGGAGCCACAGCAAGCTCTGTGAGCAGGGCAGGGAGGTGGCACAGACAGGCAGTGGCATATTCAAGGCAATGCTCTCATCCAGCAGCCATCGCATGGGGCTCACTGCAGGGGAGGCATCTGCTCTTTAAGGAAATGTCTCTATTTGCCTTACGTCCCTGGCTGTCCCTTGAGCCTCCTCTGTCCCTTGTTCCCAAAGTGCGTAACGCTGCTCCCCAGAGCCGGGTGGGAGGCGGTGTGAGGGACATGCCGGGACATTTATAGCATCAACCTCCAGCTCTATCCTGCAGCTGGGGAGGGGCAGGTTTGGCCCCAGGGACGGAGCATGGTGGAGGGGAAAGCAAGCAATTGTGGCCCTAGCCAGCTGGATGTTTCTCCCATAGGCAGGAGGATGTTGCTGGTCACAGGTTACCAGTGTCCAAATATTATTTCTCTTCTCCTGTCTCTGTTCCATGCTGCCTAGAAAGTGGATGCTCATCCCAGGAATGTAAACTCTGCCCAAGGCCTCTGAGGAAACAGCTTCAGACCAGGAACAGGATTGCACTCGGCAATTAAGGGTTGGTCTCCCCAGCCACAGGGCTCCTGGGGGAGAGCCCTTTGCTCCAGCGCCAGAGGCTGGCCTTGTGTCTGAGAGGTGGCCCCAAGGGACCTTCCTGCAAGGACAGGCGTGAGGCCCCGTGTGGTCACGGTCTTTGCAATAACAGGATTCTGTCTGTCCAGCGAGTTGGCAGCAGCTGCTGCTCAGGGCAGCCTCTGCTCTTGGGTGGGAGGAAATGCTCCCTTCACCCCCATCTCACAACTATCCCTGTGGAAGGTGTGTGTGGGGGTCCCCTTGGCCCAGGAGAGTCTGTAGGCTGATAGAGGGAGAGCACAGGCATGCTCCAGTCACCGTGTTAACGTTACCTGCTCCTTGCTGCCGAGCCAGTGGCGAGAGTATGAACAGGCACCAAAGCCCCCAGCAGCTGCTGATCTGCTGCTGTGCCGCTGAGTGATGAACTGCAGCGCACCCGGCCCCGAAGTGGGGCTGGGATTTCTGTGTGCTTATCTCTCCACCATCTCCATGCTAATTTGCCAGGCTTTGCTCCAACAGCTTTCTCACACATTCAGTAGTACCAATGCCTGGAAGCTCCCGACAGAGCTCAGCTCCTGCTGGCGCCTGAGCCGCTGCCACCTGCACAGCCCAACAGGGCTGAGGAGAGGCAGCTGGCGTGTCCTGCATCCCCTGGGGACAGACCCCACAGGGCTGGGGACAGACCATTGATGTCCTCATGCTGCAGGGACAGACCTCACACAGTGGTGGGTAGGGAAGACCTAGAGCAGACTCCTCACTCTCCCAGGAGGACAGAAACGTGAATCCTGGCATGGATACAGAGCCCATTATTTCCCTGGGACCTGCAGCCCACGGGGGATCGTGTTGCCTGCTGACATCTCTTCACACCTCCCTTAGCTCCAGTGTCCCTGGCCGCTGGGGCTTAAAAATAGAACAGAAAAGGCCACAGAGCTCCTTTGGGCTGGCAGCAGGATTAGGGCCCAGACCTGCTCTGCACCTTTCCCTTCCAATCTGGAGGGACCCACCATGGTGGACCGAACCAGGATGCCGTACCTGGGGCTACTGGGGACTGGAAACATTCTGACAGGGCTCCAGTGGGGCAGGCACGGGGCAGCTTGTGGGGAATAGGGTGGGTGGATGGTCACGGGATGTCTGAGTGGGGACAGGACAACAGCAGGGGAACGGGAAGGATGGGTGGGAAAGGGGCTGTCGTGGGGGCACATGGCAGCCAGGTGAGCTGACGGGCCTAGGGCAGTGAATCCAGCTTGCTGAGGAGCCCAACACAGCACCGGTGCTTCCCGCCCGCCGGGGATGCACCGGACAGGGGCCGGTCCCTAGAAGCGCCGGGGTAGCCCGGTGGAGAAACGGCCGGAGGCAGACCGGGGAGCTGGAGGAGGGGGCTCCGCCACGCCTGCCAGCACCGGCCGTCCCCGCGGCCGCCGGGGAAGGGCACCTGCTCCCGCCCCGCGGCGGGGCCGGGGCGGGGCCGCGGCGGTGAAATACGGCGACAGAGCGGGGCGCGCTCCCATGGCCCGGCGGCGGCGGCGGCGGCGGCTCGGCGGGGCCGGTGGCCCGGCGGCGGGCGGCTATGTCGGGGGCGGCGGGGCGGGAGCGGCGGCGCTGAGTCGGTGCCGGGGCGGCGGGAGCGGCGATGCGGCTGCTCGGCGCCTTCCTGCGGCTGCTGGTGGCCGGGACGCTGGGGGCGCCGCCCGCCCCGGTGAGAGCCGAGGGGTGGGAGGGTGATCGGAACGGGGGCAGCCCGGTCCCCCCAGTGCCGCTGCTCGGGGTGACCGTGACGGCCGGGGCAGCTCCTCTCGGCGCTGGGCGGGGGAGCGGCGGCGGGTCGCTCCCTGCCGCCCCGCTAGCTCCCGCCTCTCCCTCCCCGCAGGCCCCGGAGGAGCGGGGGACCGCCAGCGCGGAGTCGCACGGTGAGTTGGCTGTGGGCGGCCGCCGGTGCCCCAGCTGGTAGGGGGCGGCAGTCCCGGGAGGGCTACGCGCCGGGCCGGGGGTGCTCGGTGTTCCTTGGGGTATTTTACCTCCGGAGCCCCGCGGCGACGCCCGGGCAGGCAGCGGGGAGCTGTGCCGGGTTCGGTCCCGCAGCCGTTTCCCGCAGCCCGCCCCGGGCGCGTGCGGACCGGACACCGTCGCAGGCGGGAGCGGAGCGCAGCCCTGTCCCTGGCTTGCCCTCCCTCCGGTGCCGGCGTGCGGGGTCCCGGGTGGGAGCGCTCCGCTCCGGCTGCCTTCTGCTCTCCCCGTTCGGAAGCCCGAGGGGGCGGCTGTCTGCCCGAGGGAGGGCCAGGGAGCGGGGCAGCCCCGCCGCGGCGGGGGCGAGCAGAGTGCTTGGGGAGGAGACGGAACTGGCGGGCAGAGGGAGAAAGAGCCCACCGGGGTGGCTGTGGTGGCTGTGCGAGCCCCCTGCACCAGTGAGTGATGGACTTACTGGGCAAAGGGGGTCTTCTGCATTCTTGTGCCCCATGATGGCTGTAGGACCCCACCGCAGGTGCTGCACCTGCCCTGGCGGCCTCTCTGGGCGTCTCCTGATAGACCCTGTCCCGATCTCTTGCAGTCTTGACTTTTCGGGAGATCTGGAATCGTAGTTTCTGCCGGCCGCTGGAGCAGCTGGTAGACGTCACTAACGAGTTCCCTAACGAGGTGGAGTACATTTTCAGACCCTCCTGCGTCTCCCTGCAGCGCTGTGGAGGCTGTTGTGGGGACGAGGGTCTCCGCTGCGTCCCGGTGGAGACCAGCACAGTCACCATGCAGGTACGCGCTGCCGCTGCGGGACCGTGGCTGCGCCGCGGAGGTGGTGGGCTGTTCACGAAGCGCCGGGAGGGTGAACTTGCAGACATCATAGCAGCGTGGCTAACAAGGGAGAGAGTTTACTACTGCTCAAATGCATACCAAGCCAGGAGGGTCCCTCTGCCGGCCCTTTGGGCTTGCCCCTGAGTCCAGGTGTCACCCCTGGCGGTACTGGCCTCACTCCCTGCTTCCCTGCCCTCTCCTTTCTGTGTGGGCCATCTTGCTCATTGCTGTCGTCTTTCCAGACCTTCCCTGTCTTGTGATGGAGTTGGAGGTCTTCCATTTGCCTATGACTGCCTACTGGGACAAAGCAGGCGCTGCCCCTGAATCGCAGGGAGAAGTGAGGCTCTCCTGTGTCAGGCGATGCCTGTGGTGGTGCTGACGGTGAATGCCCCCACACGGGGGGCGTGGTGAACATGAAGGACTGAGCCAGCCACATTTTCAGTCCCTGCTGTGGGAGCTGTGAAATGTGGGATGGGACATCCTGTGCCGATTGACTCTTCCCCGTGCACTGGGCAGCAGTTGTCCTCACACTGCAGCCTTTCCACTGTGCTGCCAGAGAGATCAACTTGCTGATGCTGCAGGGAGCAGGGCAAAGCTCTGCTTTGCCGTGGATGACAGATTAGAGTGTGCCTGCAATAAATCATCAGTGATTTTGGTCTCTTAGGGGTTGAAAGTGTGTTAGAAGGCAGGGTGGGAGTTTCCAAAAACTTTTGACTGAGGTGGAGCAAGGGCCTGACATGAACAGAAGGCAGCTCCCCAGGCACAGGTCTCCCTCCACGGGAAGGATCCTGCTGCTGTGCACAGGGTGGCAGTGCCAGACACTTCAGCAGGGGCTAGTGTGGATCACACCAATGATGAACATACTCTGTGAAGTCCCTGGATGTCTATCCTGAACATCAGGCTGGGCTGTGGAGTGACACGTGACAGGGCAAATCCTGTACCCCTGGATGGGAGAGGCACTGTGATACTGACTCCAGTCTGTTCATGCTCAGTGCTGTGGGAAAGGGGCCAGGAGGAGGCAGCAGCAATGGGAATGGTCTGGAAAACCTGCCAATGGGGGATATTTCCTTCAGAGAAGGGAGATTTGCAAAGTGAAAGCTTTCCACAAAGGCAGACACAGAAAAATCTCTTCTAAGGCTGGGAAATCCCATACCCATGGAACTTAAATTAAAGCCCTGAAGATGTGGGATGGCACTAGCAGAGCCTCCCAAGCTGCTGGGGCAGCTGGACCTGGCCTGTGCTGCCTACGTGTGGAGGTGGAGTCTCTGTTGTTGGAGGTCCCGAGGAACAGGTTAGACATGTGTCTTCCTGAGAGGCTGGGGCGGCAAGGCAGTAGTGCAGGAGCCCTTCCAGCCCCCTCCTGCTGCTGGCTGAGAAGTAACCTTTGCTCCTCTTTCAGCTCTTGAAGATAAAGCCAAATGGGGAGGCACCCTACGTGGAGATGGAGTTCACTGAGCACAAGCATTGCGAGTGCAGGTAGGGACCCCTGGGCTTGTTTTACACCTCCAGCAAGAGTGACCCTGGCAGCTCACCCTGCATGTGGGACAGGGATGCCCAGGGGGCACCCTCTCTGTGCTGAGACCCGTTCACACTAGGGTTTGATGGTCCTTATAGCCTTTTTCAGCTGCAGACTGCACCACACCTCTGCACCTGCTCCCCACAGCCAAGGGTGTGTGGCATTGTGCACCAGGGTCAGGCAGCACGCACTGCTTGCAGGGCTGCAGCAACTGTGACTCTGTGAGCAGGCATGTCTGTGCCCCCCAGCCCTGTGGCTGCCTTGGCATGCCTGTGCTGCTCTGGCCAGAGGCTCTGCCTGTGGCTAATGGAGCAGAGCAGATGGCTCTGAGGCAGATGTTTGGTGTGCCCAGGCTGGTGGCTCAGCAGGGAGGTCCATGGCTTGGCATGCTTGAGTATGACTGTGGCCCAAAGAGACAGCTCAACAGCTGGGCCTTGGGCCTCCATTTAATGGACGCTGCCCCATACAGACCTGGGAAGCAGAGACCCACATTCAAGTCAACAAATGAAAGCTTGAAACATGCAGCACCAACATGGCATGGATATCCAGCACCGGAATGGATGTGCAGCACCAACCTGCCACATAATCCTGGCACCTGGTCAACCCCTTGGGGTGCTCACTGTGTCTCAGAAGTGGTGAAAGCTTGGGGCAGGATGGGGCCTCTGCCTGGGGACTGCAGTGCTGTGGGAGCAGGGAGCAGCTCTGGTGGTGCCCACATCTGGTCCCTGCTACAGAGCCTCTCTAGCATTGTCTGCATGGGGGGTGCTGGCAATCACTCTCCATGATCCAAAGGTGATTTAATATTGTGAAAACTGGAAGATGAGGGTTCTTCTGGGCAGCCATTAGACATAATCCTTGCCTGGAAGAAGAGCCTGAGGATCCCCAGGTTGGTATTCCCCTGCAGTTGTGTGAGCAGCTGTACTGGAGTAGACCCAGCTCCATGCTCTCTCTAGAGTGTCTGTCGGTGGATGCAGAAGGGGGAGTGGAAAGGAGCACATGTGTTACTTCCCCCCCTCTCCACTTCCAGCTATTTTCCATGCAGGGAATTTCCTAAGCCTTTTGTGGTTTTCCTACCTAGGGTAACTCCCAGGGGATCTCCTATGAGCAGTTGAGTAGGCTGCCTTAGAATCTGTGAAAACCTCTTGCTGCAGCAGCTTTTGGCTTCTCCTTAAGCTTCTTCCACACCTGCACATCGCTCCCTTCTGTAGTTTAATGTAGGCATGGTAGATGTCCTTGCCTTGACCCCTAAAGGGGATGCTTAAGCCAAGTGTGTTGTGGCTGAGAACCACTACTGAAACTTTGCAGCAAATCCCACATGTCTGTTACTCAGGATATTTCGTCTTATTTAACTATGAGCTGCTTGAGAGCAGCTGAGACTGAACTTGCCTCACTGGCAAAATGTCACATCCCCAGGGGAGTCACCAAAGCTGACCAGCCCCTTTGCTGTCTCTGCCTTCTCTCTGCCTACTGTAATCAGCTCCTGGCTGAGGAGTTGATAGCATGGAGTGAAGTTATATTGGGTCTGTTTTAAGCACGAATCTACACAGGTAGATTGTGCTGTGCACTGGGGCATGTCAATAAGCCACCTTCTGCAGCTCAACCTGCAGCACTGCCCAGTAACCACTTCACTCTCTTTTTCCCACTCTGCAGGCCCCGGCAGGACCTGATGAGGTTGGGAAGGTAAGTAACACCAAGGGCGACATTACTGGTTGGGATTGTGGGTGTCATCTCCCACACATCAGTCCCTCTTGTGGTACTTTCCTTTTGAAGGAGGAGGTCCAAGAGCCGAGGTAAGAGAAGACAAGACAAGAAGGGACGGAAAGACTGTGAACTGTAAGTGAGCAGTGGCAGGTATGGGTGCTGTCTTGCGGGTTAATTTCTTTGGGATGAGCATCTTCTTTAAGCTCTAGATCTTTACTGACACTGTGAGAAGTGAGGGATTTGTGCATAGCAGACACAGAGGAAAGCAGGAGGGGGCAGTGGGGCAGCTGTGGAGAGATAGGCTTTTTACTAAAGGCTCAATAGGTGCTTCATAGTCTCCAGGCTCAGCTGCTCAAAGCTGGATAGAGTGGAGATGGATGGACTGGTTGACTTGATGGTGCTTAGGTCTATCACTATCATAGACCACACTAGGTTTCCTGAATCCATGAATTTCCAGTTTCAGCCTCATGTTGCTGCCAACTGTGTCTTTCCTGCTGTCCTTGACTGGTCATTGTTTGGGTTATTCTAACCTTTCCATCCTTTAGCTCACTTTCTCAATCCTCTGAAGCCTGCCGTTAGGGGCTCAACCAGCCCCAGGCCCATTGCTCCCACTCCTCCCCATGAAGAGGCTGCCTGCAGTCCCTTCCCCTGCAGTTCGGTGTCAGAGGGGCCAGGCACAGAGAAGGGGGATCCAGGGCAGGGCCCGGGGGTTCAAGTGTCCCTCCCTTGCTGGCAGTGCTCACCCCGTACCGTGCTCTCTTTGCAGATGTGGCACACCACGCAGGTAGCCTCTGCTCTGCCCCCAGCCTTGATCCTGCTGCCTGGATTTGAGCCAGTTGCATTTCCCCCTGGCATGGGAGACTTGTGCAGTCATGTCCCTCCAAGCTGTGTTGGGCAGCAGGACTCTGTCAGGGAAGAGCTGACTGGACTCTTGCCTGACCCTGGTAGGAATACATCCTGGAACCAAGGACTCCCTTGCCCCATCTGCCCTGTTGGCAGCAGGACAAAAGGACACACGACCAGGTCTGGGGCTGAAGATGAGGAGCTCAAGCCATGTGTTGGTGTTCAAGGGCATCCTGGGGACAGCGAGGAGCAGAGCTGGTTGATGTGCTGCTGGAACTGGCTGGGGAGGACAGCATGATGTGGGAAAAAGCAGAGATGGCTCACAGGGCTGCAGCTGCAAAGCTTCTCTGTCCTGTCAGCGCTCTGCAGCTGGGGAGGAAGGAAACCTGGGGCAGACAAGGCTGCAGGGCTGCATCCGTCCCAGCCTTGGCACGGGACAGCCCAGGAGAGTGCCAGGGAGCTTGCTTGGGAAGCTGTTCTGGTGGGGAATGGGAGGGAACCGGGCTCCTCACTTACAGCCACATCCCAGCCTTGCCCTGCTCAATAAAAGCTGGTGGTGAGATGTGGGAGCTGGCAGTGTGAGAACTCCTATCTGCTCTCCAGTAGCTGCAGGCGGGACACTTCCCTGTGGGCACCCATTCAGGCTGGAGGAGGGCAGTCCTGCAGTGATCCAGGGCTTGTCCCCAGCACCAATCCTTCAGCACCCAAGGGACTGCCCTTGGTTTAATGCTGGAGATGAGCAACCAGCAGGTCAGGACCAAGTTGCTCCCCACACCGGGACACTACCCATGTGCTGGAGTTCAAGTTGGGTACTGGGAGACCCTTGAGGGAGCTGCTGTTCTCCTCCACACCACAATGTGAGACTGGTACCTCTCCCTGTTTACCATCCTGTTTTCCCCACCCCATCCAAATGTCTGGCTCGGTGTTCTGTCCTTCCTGGCAGGGCTGATGCAAGATGTAGGGCAGTGTGGCGCAGGCTGCCCATGGACCTTCCCACTCAGGAAACACTCCACCAAGGCTCGTTTACCTGACACGGGGGCAGGCTGCGCTGGGGCCCCTGTATCTTAGTGGGAATACCCTGGGGGTATAGGGAGCTGGTGACCCTCACTGAGGTGGCTGTGGATGCTGCTGTTTTCTGCTTTTCCCACTCAGCCAGCCCTGTGCCCAGGTGCAGTGGGGAAGTTGCAGCCCCTGGTTTTCCATGCTTTGAGCAGTGTTCCTGGGTCTCTTCCTGTCCTCCCTCCTGCCCCTGCTGCAGAGGCTGCCTCCCAAACGCTTTCCATGCTGATTTGTGCAAGCCATATCCTGAAACAGTGCATACAGCTGGAAACCCTAAGGGTGACTTGGTTACCAGCATGTTTGTGGAGCACCTCTGGCACTGGGTTAAAACAAATCAAGGGTCATTCTTGAAAGCTACAAGCAAAAGACTGGAGGGCAAGATCTGCAAATGCTTCAAGATTACCCTCAAATGATGGGACCTGCAGCTTATCCTGCTCTGAGGAGCAAGAGTGGAGCCTAACGTAGCAGGAGTTGGGGTCCACATCTGCCATGGCTGCATGTAGTAGGGGCAGGCTCTCTCTGAATTGTAATGCTTGTGCTGCCTGGGACCGGCACAAGGACATGGGGACAGGGCAAATCTGTCAGGGAAAGCTGGTGGTGGGTGTTGAGATGATATGAATCTCCGTGCTGCCACCATGTAGTATGGAATGGACTGGGTGAGTTGTACCCATGCAGCTGGGCATATCCTTCAGTAGCTTGCTAGATCCCTTTTGGATCCCATTTCTAGTTCTGGTATACACGGTGTCCTGGGGCACAGCCTACACAGACTCTGCCTCAAAAATGACCCATGAAGTTCCTCCTTCACTACCTCATGGATGAGGGGGACTTGCTGCTTCCCTTCCTCTGTCACTCAGGGTCTACGTGGGCCACGTGGAACCCTAGCTCTGGACATCTGTCCTAGTCCAAGCAGGCTCTCCCCATCCCTGTGTGCCATTTCAGCCTGGCTGGTTGCTCTCTAAGGCCAAGGAGAACCATGTGCAGCACTTGAGGATGTACGTGATGGTTTCTATATTGTTTTTTAACACTAAAGTTTCACCTCAGTAGTATTAAACTTTTAAAGAAAGTTACATAAATCCAAGTATGTAAATTAATAAAATTAAGTTTATCAAAAGTGATTATTAAAAAAATCAAACAAATTCAAACACACTCATGCCCAGCAGCTTTTCCAAACAGTTCCTGGTGTCTGGTGTCACCTCTTTGACTGCTGCCCCACACTGAGATATTCCAGGCAGCTCTGCCCACCAGAGTTGGCAGGGCCAGGAGCCTGTCTTGCATGGCTACCCTGTGTTGCTTCTCCCCCTCCATCACCTGAACTGCCTGGGTGCTGTGTGTGGCCTTGTCCCCTGTTCCTCTTGTGGCATGGGGTCTTGGACAACAAGGACACAGGTTCCTGGGATGGATGTGGCTGTCCCACTGAAACAGCAACAAGGGCAGGGAGCAGGAGAAGGCATCACTTACTTACACAGGAGATTTGGGAGCTGCATCTCCAGCTGTCCAGCCTCCCTCTAACTCTGGGGAGGTAATGGGAACCAAATGAGTCCTAGCACCTCCCTGGAGTTCCTGTGGCTGCTGCAGGCATCACACACTCAGGGAAACACCGGCCTTCTTCCCTGTCCCTACCAGAGGTGAGAGTCCTGCGACTCCCCTCATCCCCAGGCAGGGACTTCCAGTAGGACATCACATCCACTGGTGGTATGAGGATCAAGGTGGGGCTGTACTGCCCCGAGGGGAAGAGCAGGGCTGCTGGCCTGAGGGCTTATGTCCACCACCCATGTTTCCTCTCAAGGAGACCAACCACTGTCTGCCTGTCCCCACTCTGTGTGCTCCCAATTGTGCCTTTTTTGGAGGCCTACAACACTAGCTCCTGGCGGCCCTCCTTGGCCACAGCAGATGTGTCACCTGAACACCCTGACAAGGTCAGCTACATCTACAGATGTACCTGGCAGAACCTCATGGACAGAACCTCATGTCCCGCAGGTGCTGTAGAGCAAGGCTGTAGGAGGAGACTGGTGCCAATGTAAAGGGACTGTGACAGACCCCAGCCCCAAAGCCAGCAGAGTCCCCCATGGCCAGGCATCAAACATGCCCCAGCCCTGCTGCTCCCAAATTCTCCATCCTTCCCCTGCCTGTGTACCCCTTGCAGACAGGCAGCTGTCTCACAGGAGCAGCACACACTGTGTTATCAGCGTCCCTGGGCTCCCTGTGTCTCCCAGCCTTACAGAGCAAAGGTTTGTTTAATAAGGCTTTAGGAGTCAGAGGTGCAGTAAGATGATTTAGAAGAAGAGTTATGGAGGAGACAAAACATAAACCAGGCTTATGCATCAGGAAAAAAATATTACATATTTTTGGGTAAGTGCCTGTAAAGGTGATGTGGAGATGTAATGTCATAGCTGATGAAGTCCTGATGCTAAAGCTTATCTGGTTACCTCCAACTTCCTCAGTCTTAGGAGGTCATCGGAGCACTGCCTCCCAGCAGCTTCTCCTGGCACATGCCGCTGCAGGTGTCTCACACATCTCCATGCAAATAAAGATCACTGTGGTCTTAATGTCTCACTTGTGACTTAGAAGACTTTTGCGTCTGAACAAAGTTGGGCATAATCCTTCTGCCTGTTGCAGCCACTGATGTTTGAAGTCTCAGCATGTTTTAAACTTTTGCCTGCTCTCATGCATCCATTTTAGGCTGTGAGAAAAAAGGCAGCTCTCACTTTGCTCCCTGTTATTTATCTGTGCTAGTTTTGCTTTGGGAGTTCCCACTTCCTGACAGGGGCCACAAACTCTTCAACAGGTTAATCTAAAAGTAATCCCCCAAATTTAACATCCTCCATCCAGCACTGACATGGGAACCTGGAAGTCCACAGGTAAGGGCAGCTGTGCCTCAGGACTGGTGTGTGTCTTCTCCTCTTGCAAGGCTCTTCCTTGCAGGCCAGTCCTTGGGGCACTTCTTGCTGATGCCTTTGGATCACGCTCTTCCGGCTGCTTCAGAGGTGTTTGCTGACGAACTCAACAGTTTTGTTCCCCTCCTAGCAATTCCTCTTCACATATCTCTGTACTACCATCACCTCAATATCCACACCCCTCTACAGATACGTTGTGCTGGATTTTGTAATTTACTGTGATCTCTGTCCTCTCCAGGCCCACATAGATCTGCTGAAGTCAGGCAGGTGAGCTGTGCCAGCAGCATCCCTGCTCTCATCCCGGGCCCCACTTCACTTGTTGCCTGCTCAGACGTTCTCTTGAGTTTGAAGGAGAAGCCCCCAGGCTCTGTGGGAATTAAAAGGCCCCAGAATAAGCAGACTGGGCAAAAAAAATTTGTTTCTGTGATCTAGGGTTTGGTGGGGAAACGGAACCTGGAAATGTTTTGAGGAGAAACCAAAGAACCAAGCAAGCTGATGATGTCTGGGCAGTGGGTTGCCTTACAAAGCAGAACCCTTTGTGTTCTCCCAGACCTGCCCTCTGAGGCACAGTTAATACTTTTGCACTCCCAAAGAAATGGTCTTTGTTAGAGGGAGTTTGGTTGCTGAATGCTCAGCTGAGCCGTGGGCACAGTCTTTACTTTTCTGTTCTGTTGTTAACAGGCTGGGCTGCGGTCAAGAGCTGCCTGGGGGGAGATCCCCTGCCATCAGTGTGCAGAGGGTATGAAGTAACCACAGGGTAGCCCCACAGCAAGTACTGGCTCCAGCAGTGGCTGAACACAGGGACTGACCATGCTGCTGTGGCTGTGATGGCATAGCACAAGGCCAGCTCCTGTCAAAATGAACCCCCCTTTTTAGAATCACTTTCTGTTGGAATGGGACATACCCATAGGTTAGCAAGGGATGAACAAAGATGCAGGTGCCTCTTTTTTCCCAATAAATGTTAGCATAGTTTTTCTTAGGCTATCCCTGGGATTTCATTCCAGCCCTCCTCCCTTTGCAGGTCCCCTGGCACCCCTCTGGAAAGATGGTTAGTCAAACTGGGACCAATAATCCTACAGACACAGCAAACCAGTTGGCCTGAGCAGTAACCGACTGAGCACTCCTGGTTCAGCAAATCTCTTTCACTAATAACTGTGGTGATCTAGTGGGCCCTGCAAGGTCTTTCTGGCCTTCCAAAAAAAAAAAAGCCAAACCAGGAGGGCAGAAATACACGTTTCTAGGCTAAAACAGAGACTGGTATTTTCTACATACTAAGTGGTACTAACCACCAGTGTAATCTGAACTACAGTGTCAGTTTGCTGCGCCTTAATGCATTTGTGCTGATTTTCCCTGTTCTGTACATTTGAAATAAGTTTGTAAAAGCTAATGAGTCTGCAAGAGCTGGTAGAAGGGCCAGCTGAGAGCCTGGCGTCAGGGGCAACAGAATCCCCTTGAAAGATGAAATCAGGAAGAGCTAAGGGTGCCCTGGGCTGACCGTGATGGAGTGGCAAGAAACCCAGCACCTTAACGGGGGTAGCGAGGAGCTGCTGGAGTGGGTACACCCTTCGGGGGCCGGCAGAGGCAAAGGCTAATTGAAACACGGCTAATTAAGCGTTATGGGAGGAAGCAAAGGTGGTGGCAAAGACAGCACTTAACGAACAGGAGCTTGGTTAATTAAGGGCAATTAATGGTGAATAACGATGACAATAAAGCAAGTAGAGCGACGGCGCTCACCACGCGTTACCGGAGCCTCGGGCAGGGGCGGAACCCCGGCACAGACCCCGTGGTGGGGGGCGGTGATGATGATGATGATGATGATGATGATAATGATGATCTCATCCGCAGCCAATCAGCACGGGCCCTCCGCGCCGCTCCCCCGCCGCCCCGCCCGGCGGTGCCGGGGATGCTTGGCGGCCACGCTGCCCAGGTGCGGGACCGCGGGGGCGGCGGGGAGCGGGCCGGGGCTCCGTGCCGGGCTCCGTGCCGGTGAGCGGCGCCGGGCGGTGCCGGACGAAGGGGCCGTCGTTCCTCGGGTGAGCCGCGCCCCTCCCGCCCCGCCGCGGCGCAGGGCGGCGGCGCGGGGCCATGATCCGTGCGGAGGCCGAGCCCTGCTCCCGGGCGCTGGCGCAGGCCCGCGTGTACCTGGGGCAGCTGCGGAGCCGCGTCAGCCCCGCGGGCCCCGAGGGCGGCGGGCGGCGGGACTACCTGGTGGAGGCGGCGCGGCAGCTGCGGCTGGCGCTGGAGCGGGACGTCAGCGAGGACTACGAAGAGGCCTTCAACCACTACCAGAACGGCGTGGACGTGCTGCTCCGCGGCGTGCAGGGTGTGTGCGGCCTCCCGGGAGCGGGGCACCGGGGCAGCCCTCCGGAGGCACCAGCCAGGGGACCAGGGCATCCATCTGGGGAGTCCAGGGAGAGGGTCAGGGTATCCCTCCAGGGAAGATGACAAGGGAGACCGGGACGTCCCTCTAGGGAGTGTGGTGAGGGCACTGGGGCATCTGTCCAGGGAGTGCATCCCTTCTGGGAGAAGGGTGAGGGAACTGGGGCATCTCCCTGGGGACTGTGGCCGGGGCACCAGGGGAGTGTGTCAGGCCCCTCACAGACACTCTTTGCACCAACCATAGTTGACCCCAATAAGGAGCGTCGGGAGGCCGTGAAGCGGAAGATCACACAGTACCTCAGGCGCGCCGAGGAAATCTTCAACTGCCACCTCCAGCGGGATGCAGGGGATGGCAACACCACTGCCACGGTGAGGGGCTGGTGTGGGGTGGCATGGGTGGGATGGCAGTGAAGCTGCGTCGCTGGGAAACTGCGCAGGACACAACATAGAGCAGCCCCAGTGAGCCTCTGCCACATGCTACAGTATGATGGTGTAGAGAAAATGGCATACACATCAAGCTTCCAAGTGTCCTGGCATGCCAGTGGTTGTGTGGGAGCTGGCAGCTTTTTGCCCTGCCTGGATGGAGCTGACATGGGCCCAGCTTGCCTGGGATGTTCCCAGGACCTCATCCCCCAAAGTGTGTATGCTTAGCTTGCTGTCACCACAGTGAATATGGCCATTTTTGGGGAGACTGAAGCCACTGCAGGGAACCACCTTGTCAAGTGTTGAAAATGTCTCCCCTGTCACTGTTCCCATCTGTATGGAAACCAAAGACAATGGCTACTTGCTGAATTGTGAGAAGGAGGTGGTTAAAGAAGGGAGAAAGAAGGGAGTGAGGCAGGGCAAGGTTGGGGCTTGATAAGAAGGATGAGGGGAGAAATACAACTACCTTCCATATAGGTCCCTTTAGTATTGAAGCAGTCCAGGTCTAGCTATAAATTTTGAAGTGATTTCACCTCTGCTGCAGGTGCAAGCTTTCCCTGAAAAGTTCAGAAATCCAGGGGCTGGCCTGGAAAATGGTCCAGCTGATGTTAGGAATGAATCACAGCCATAATTCATGCATTTGGAGTGTTGTCTCTAAATGTTGAGCAGGTAGGCAGTATTGCTGCCTCCTTTGGAACATGCAGGGACTTCTCCCACCCCATGTCATGGACAGTAGCATCTCTAAGTCCTTCATCCTCTTCTCTCACTGCCTTGCAGGGCTACAGTAGCCTGCGCTTCCGGCCCATCAGGACGCTGAGCTCAGCAGTGGAGAACCTGAGACAGTGTAAGGTTGTGGGAGTGATTGATAAGGTAATGACTTGATGTGGAACTGGGAGGGTGAGGCTGGGGCTGGACCAAAGGGAGTGTAAACTGGAGGGTCCTAGCAGCTGTGATGGGGGTGCTAGCCCCTAGCACGCCCACCAAGGAATGTGGGGGTATCCATCCAACCATTCCCACCAAGAAAAATTCACAGGACCAGATTCAAGATCCATTAGGAGTTAATTGGGAAATCTGTTCATCTCCCCATTATTTTTGCTTACCAGAACTCCCAGGTTATTTACAAGGAGGTTGATACGTCCAGTTCTTTCCCACGCATGGAATCATGGTTGATGATTAGATATTGTGATGGTAGAGTCCTGTGGGTGATCTGGACTTGAGCAGAAGATGAGCTGTCTGGATGAATAAACTAGTTACTAGTTCATGATGCTGGAATGAAGATGCCAGGCTTACTGACCCCATACACACGCTACGCATCGCTCTCCACTGCCGTTCCTACATCTCAGTTTGTCTGGATTGAGGAGGTCCTCCTGTCCTGCCGAGGCCCAGGTTTGAGCCCAGTGCACCCCACAGAGCCTGAAACGAGCACTGCGAAACCCTTCGGTGTGAAGGAAGCAAAAATGGTGTGGGAGTCACCTCTTGGTTTAATTAACTCTCTGCTTCCTGGCTGCATGGCTGTCTCCTTGCTAATAACCTTTGTTTTGTCTTTCAAGAGTAAGGGTTTGAGCCCCACCAAACTCACCAAACTACCACTACTGGGTGGTAGTTTTTTTCAGTTCCAGAGTTGAGTCTCTTGGGTCATTCTTGTAGGCTGTGTGTTAGGGTGGAAGCAGTGATTGCTTCTGACAGGTACTGTGAATACTGCTTCCAGGTGCAGATTGTCCAGGATCCAGCCACTGGTGGGACCTTTATACTTAAGGTGAGTGTTTTCAGTTTTGTCTGCCTGTTTCTACCTGTCATGTGAGGGCCTCCTTGTTCAAGCATACGGCTGGGGCAGGTGAAAGGACCGAAAAACAGCAGCTCTCAGAAGTGTTGGAGAAAGTTCATGGTTCATAAAGCTTCCTTTGGCTGCCTCAGCCATCCTCTGTGATCAGAAGGGAAGAGGTTCTCCTTGGTCATCTGTTTCTCTGCTTTGTAATGCTTCAGGCCAAGACTTATGCCCCTGTTAATCTGGGTCAACCCCTGAAACAAGTTATGGGTGAGGTGTGCTCAATACAAGTTCTAGAGCATTTTCCAATCCCCTTGGAACAAACAATAAAGGATTTCAGTAATTGGACAAGAAGGATCTGGCATGACGGGGAGAACCATCAGTTCCAGGGGAAGAGGAGAAAGGGCTGGCATGGCAGGTTCCTGACTGAAGGGAGCGGGGGTGGTTGTGGGGTGGTCTCTGCTCTGGACCAGCCCTCTGGGTCCCACAGTACAGGTGGGGAGTGCCCTGCCTTGGCAGAGCTTTGCAGAGGGCTACCTTATCACAGCTGTGTGCTGGGGACAGACAGACCTCTCCGCAAGAGCCGCAGGTTTCCACACATGAGGAGTTCCGTTGCAGGTGACACAGTCGAGCAGCCATGGGGCTTGGAAGATGGCATGCTACCTTTTGGCTGGCCTCCAGCCCTACCACGCGCTAGGCTGCAGGGAAGTCGAGATCCCTGTGCTATAACACACATCTGCCTGTTCCTCCTCAGAGCCTGCCCAAATCCCATGTCGAGACCCGTGAGCGACAGACCATCATCCCTCATGGGGTACCCTTCATGGTCAAGCTGTTGTGCTACTATGTGAGTGAGGATTCCATCTTCCTCCACCTGGAGCACGTGCAGGGTGAGTGGGGACAGACTTGCCTCCTGTCTGGGAAGCATCCAGGTTTATCCCTAACCTCCCTTTTCTTTAAAATCCCAAATATGTTTCTCCTACTGTTTTGGGATTATTTTTTATAGTGACAGCGCAAGTGTCCTTCATAGGAGGGTGGTGGGTACCAGGGCTTGGAGACTCTGTGAGCGGAGCTGCTCACACACTTGTTGTAGGAATTCTGGAGGTCTGATAAGAACTAACAGGGCATGTAACCTAGAAATGGGCTTGTGGAGACCTACAAGGAGAAGGAGGTTGTGTGTTGGGGGATGTTATATGGAAACTAGCCTTAGGGAAACTAGCCACCTTGTCTCATGGGAAGGAATGCCTTTAGGTAAAGAAGTTGATGTGATCCAGCATCTTTAAAAGAAAAACCTCTTAATTTACGGTATTGTCTGATCATGACAGGAAGGTGATGGAGAAAGAGAACAAAGTGAGGTAGTTCACCTGTATGTTTTGGAACAAAACAATCTTTTGACAAGACCTTTATAAAACATTTTTTTGGTTACAAAAGAAGAGATCACACTGGATTGTGAGATCAGACCAAAGAGAGGAGATGGAAAATTGGGCATAAAGATCAGGGAGCACATCGGGGTTTGGGTACAACAAGGGGGCATATTTGAGATTTGTCTCAGATCCTGGTGAAGACGTGTGACAAGGTGGAGGCTTGTCCCAAGGAACTTCTTTACTCTCTACTGTGGAATGCATGCGTAGGGGAGAACAGCTGGAGTCCAGCAATGACAAGTGGAGGCTGATGTGTGCTGGAGCCTCAACAACTCGTGCTTTGCTGTAGGTTGAATTTGCAGAAAGCTCTGAATGCAGTGAGGCTGGGAAGCCCCACAAGGATGCTGTGGTCTCCAGGACTCACTGCTCTGGCTTGTTGCTGACCCATAGGGTCTGAGACATGCTGCGGGAACTCTGGCATCTCTGTCACACTGGAAGGAAAGGCTTTCAGGAGAAGGTGGGGATGGCAGTGTGATCAGGGGCATCTGTGAAGATGTGGCTGGTCTGGCAGTGGCAGAGCTGGGATCAAGGAGGCTATGCAGAATGGGGAGCAGGGCTGCTAAAGGAGAGGGTGTGCTAGGTCCTAGGGGGAGGTGGTGTTGAGCATGGTGTGCTTGTAGGGCTGGAGTGCATTCTGCATGGACTTGAGCTTTGCTGCAGGGAGATTAATGATGCTCGATCCCATCCTCAGTATGTGGGCCTTGGCCTTGTTTGAATGGGCCATGTCCACGGGGGGTATACTTTGTTCCTCATCACTTGTTCTTTCTGATTTCCAGGGGAGAGACTGTGGTCTCACCTCCGCTCCAAGTACCGTGTCCAGGAGGACTCTGCCGATTCAAGCACCATTCAAGCCCTGAGGGACCATGGCAGAGAAGATGGTGTGGGAAGCTCCCAGGGTAGCAGCCAAGCTTGGTTAGGCAGTGGCCTCCCAGGCTCTCTGACCCACCAAAACACTGATGCCTCACTCCCTCAGGAGCAGTCCTCTGGGCCCACAGACCCCAGCTCAGGGAACTACCACCAGCTTCTTCTGGCTCCTGTCAGCAGCATGAAGGCTGCACCTGGAGGACAGGATCCAAGCATGACTGTGTCTGGTGTCGTGGACTATTTTCCAGCAGCATCAGCCAAATGCCCTGGCCACCTTGCTGGCCAGGGCCTGGTTGTCTACCCCTGGGATGATCTAACCAGCAGCACAGGCTGCGTATCGGAGAGAACAGCCTCCCAAAAAGACCCCAGGCTTCCCCAGGCCCTTGGCCCTGGATCAAAAAGAGGGGGCCAGCCAGGGACAGGGGAACCGCTATCTCAGAAAGTGTCTGAGGTCTCCTGGGCTCAGCCCCTCCTGAACCTGGGTCAGAGGCAGCTTCCTGCACGAGTTGCCCTGTCCATCTCTGGCAAGCCCTGTGGGCCTGACCCAGCAGTGTGGGAGCCCTCACGAGGAGCAAGCCTGACCTGTAGCCGGCTCAGCAAGCAGCAACCATCAGGACCGTGCATGGCTTTGGCTTCCCACAGACAGAACCAGAGAGCATGGGCTGTGAAGGAGGAGCAGGTGCAGCTGTGGGCAGCAGAAATCCTCCTGGCCTTAGAGGGACTTCACCAACAGGGTGTATTGTGCCGGGACCTCAACCCCAGGAACCTGCTGCTTGATGCAGCTGGTAGGTAGTGCCCCATGCCACTGCCCCCAAGGAGGATGAGTTTGGTCTCTCAGCTGGGAGACTGCTGTTTGCCCCATTTCCAGGAAACATGGACTTGAGTTTCCTTTGGAGGAGGATGAGAGTTTGGAGAAGTTTGGATGTTTCTGAAGTTGGAAGTGTGATCTGAGGTTTTCCAAGTGGTTAGTACAAGATTTGGCTCTGCAGGAGGAGGATCAGGGGCTATAGCCACAGGAATGCATTGCCCCTGCTCCCACATGGGGGCTGGCTGCTTGGGAAATCCCAGCATGGGAAAGCTGAGACCAGCTGAGGTTAATGGGACTGCAGTTTTCTCCTGCTTCTAGTTACTGCCTGCTGGGGTGTTCTGGAGCCTTTCCATTCTTTAAGCCAGGGTACTGCTCTGAGTGCATGTCGCTGCTCAGCTGGCAACATCTGGGGCAAACATCTGGAGAGCTACTACTTGCTTAACAAAAAATGCAGTTTTGCAACAGGAAAGCTAACCTTCCCCCTCCATCTCCAAAAAACCCTTCTTTCCTCACCACAGCCTGCACTGAGGTTTGTTAGCCTGGAGCCCACTTAACCAGGCTCTCCAGCTCGGAGTGCTGCATATCCCAGGCAAGCACTGGAAGGCTGGGAGGTGTGTGATGCCAGGGGATGTACAGTGCCTCTGTGTTCAGAGCCTGACAGGGGCCCAGTACCCTGGCTGTTCCCAGTTGTGGGGATATGGCTTGGCTTAGTGCTCTGACCAAAGTCCCTAGTCTTGTCCTAACCTCCCTGCTTTTGGCTCTGGTGCTGCTCTGCAGGTCATGTCCGTCTCACCTTCTTTGGCCAATGGACAGAGGTGGAGCCCCAATGCTGCAGCCAGGCACAGGAAGAGCTGTACAGTGCTCCAGGTAAGCCCTGCCTTGTTCTGCCCTCTGCCCAGTGCCACTGACTGGGGTGAAGGAGCCTGTGCAGGCAGTGAGATGTGCCCAGCATGGTATGGCCATTTGTGCTCCTGCCTCCAGCTTTAACCCCTCTCTGGCTCTTTTTGTAGAAGTTGGGGGGATCGTGGAGCCCACTGAAGCAGCTGACTACTGGAGCTTTGGCTCTCTCTTGTATGAGTTGCTGACAGGAGTGGTAAGAGGCTGAGCTGTACAAGGAGGGTGGGGGAGGAGGAGGTGACACTGTAGCACAAGGGCTTCCTCTTGTGCAGGGGCTGGGAAGGTGCCTTGCCCTGCCAGGTTGCTTTGGACATGTGATTCCTAGTGCGTGTGCGTGGTCTCTGGGTGTTAAAGGCCCTGGGTTTTAAATCCTGCTGTGTAGGGCTGGGGTGTGTAGCAATGAAGGCTCAGCAGGGTGCTCCTGGTCTCCTCTGTGCCTCTGCTTACCATCACGCTCTGCCTCCTGCAGCCACTCTCCCAAAACCATCCGGCAGGGATTCAGCCTCACACCCAGCTGCATGTGCCAGAGGGGCTCAGCCTGGCTGCTACATCACTGCTCACCGAGGTGAGGGACTTTGGTGAATGGGAGGGAGGACAAGGGACAGGCTGGGGAAAGGCAGATGGGGTTGCTTTTCCAGTGTTCCCATCTCCCCCTTGTGCTGTCCCATTCCCTTTCTCTGCAGCTCCTGCAGTACAATCCAAAGCGGCGCTTGGGCTCTGGAGCAGGTGGCATGGCCAAGCTGAAGTCCCACTCCTTCTTCAGCACTGTCCCATGGAACAAGCTGGTGGGCTAGGCAGGCTGTGCTTCCCTCAGGGAGCTGGGCACTGAGCCTCTGTCCCTGGCACTTGTGACCCCAGGGGGCACTGGCAGCTCTGCCTGCTGGGGAGTTTGCCTCAAGGGCTGCCCCAGGGTGGGGTAGAGATGAAGTTTTGCAGCCTTACATGGCCCGTCTCTGCTTGTTCATTGGCATCTCCAAAGAGGAGGCTGCAGGCTGGGCCAGGCTGTCTTGTCCAGGTCCTCCCTGGTGGGAAAGGGAGCCCAGGTGCCCACCCTGAGGGAGAGGCCATGTGCCCCTTCTGGCACATCCCTTGCTCAGCTTAGCACCGCACCCTGGAACTCCCCATTTTTTATCTCTGCTGCTACCACAGTGACCTCCCTGCTCTGTTATTTTTTGTGGCTTTCAAATGCAGCCCCCCTGGGCCCTGCTGGTTGGAGCCCGAGCTCTCTGCCCATCCCTGACTGCATGTGTGTGTGTGTGTGTGGGTAATGCCTGCTGCAGGAGTGAGATGGGAGGGAACCCTTGCTCTTCTCTTCCACACCCTCTGAAAAAATAAACCACTCATTATTGCTTGAAGAAGTGTTCTTTTGTTTCTGAGCTGCACTAGCCAGGCCTAGGCCAAGCATGCCCAATAGTAAGGAATTACTGGCACCAGTGAAACTTCTCTGTGGCTAGCTGGTTCCAGCTCCTGCTTGCCACCAGCAGAAACACCTTGCTGGCTCAGCCTGGCTCTCGGGAAGCAGCAGGAGTGCTTGTCCACCAGAGGGAAGCAGAGTCTGGGAGAAACTCATCTGCACCAGGAAAGGTAGGGACACTTTAAAAGGCTGTGATGGAATGGGAAGACTAAGCAGGGAGTGACCGACCACTGATGCCCCAAGCAGGCCAGAGAGCAGGAGCAGCTGAGTCTGGGGCTTTTCCTCTCCAGGGCGGCCTGCACTGTCTGAACCCTCCACCTACCTGATTGTACCCTTGTCCACCAGCCTCCTAGTCCTGTGAGTCAGGAGAGGTTCAGGTGTCACTTAGGAGAGTCAAAAGAAAGGAATCTTCAAGCACAACCCTCCTACAGTGAGCCCTGACAGGGCTGGTTAAATAAAGCAGTTTGCTAGGCTGCCTCATTTTAAGAGCTTGACTGTACATTCACTCCTTAGTTAGTTCAAAGGCCTCATTTATTGCAGCTCCAGGTGGAATACACGCATTGCCTTTCCCCAGGCTCATGGGCCCTCCATATCCTAAACCAGCATGGAGGGCTGGGTGCTTAGCAGCATTCTTTAATCAGAACCTTATCTTTCACTCATTGGCAAGAACAGCTAGACTCTTTGCCCTTACAGAACAGGGAAGGGGTTTTTCCTCTCTTCCTCAGCCAGGGTCAGGGAGAGGAAAGCTGAGTCCACACACCAGTTTGTCCCTAGCTGCCAGGAAAAGACAGGCACTACTACCAGGAACTGCTCTCCCTTTTGTCAGCGTACCAGCTGTGAGTGCTGTCGTTTTCTGTTAGAAGGGGCTGCCCTCTTCACCCATATCTGGGAAGGGCAAACCATTCTCTGATGTTGATGTCAGAGCTGGAAAAACCCTGCCATGATCCAGGAATGATTTTGTATTGTTCCAACAAGGACAGTTCCTTGGGGAAACACAGCACCACAGCCAGCTTCTGCTTTACAGTTCTTTGAGCTTGTCTCCTTTAATAGCCTTTTCCCCACCTGCATGATTTACAACTCTCCCGCTGTAGCAGTTAAAACCCAACCTGGCTCCACGTTTGTACTTTATGAGCCTGTCCCAGGTCCCCCTCTTGGCCCTTTAGGAAACACTGGGAATTCCTTGCCATCTGTAACAGTTCTGTTACTAGACCAAGAAAAGGATGATTTCCAGCCCTGAAAACCTCATCTTTGCCGGGAAGAGGCAATTCTTTGGCACAGAGTTTGAGGACATTAGAGTTCACAGGCAGAGAAGCCTCAATTTAGTACCACCACTGATGGGCCCAGCTCCTATTGCCTTTTTTCTCTCACCACCAGGTAACAGGCTTCTTACACTACACAAGGGATGCTGGTGATACCTGAGTCCTCGCTCAGGAGCCGCTCCCTCAAACACACCCCACCTTGCAGTCGTTGCCCACTTTTATTTCATTTAAAATCCGCTGTGTTAAATATTTGTTACAAGTTCTGTGTAGGGGGTAAGAGTAATAGACTCTGCAGGCACTAGCAACCCCCTCACCCCTCAATACATGTGTGCGCTATCAGATTAAGGACTGACCCCTCCCCCCAGAACCAGCACCCAAGGGCTGGGATATACATTACAGTGAAAGGCCTGGCCCCCCCAGCTGTGTCTGCTGGAAGCAGGCCAAGCCCCCGCACGCAGGAAGCCGGCAGTCAGATCCACCACCAGTGAGCTGTGATTCCAGGAGAGTTGCTGGGGGCTCGTTCTCACCCCCGTGTCGGGCCTGTAATGGTGAAAGGGTCGTCCCCAGAACAGTGCTACCTCCACAGAGGTCACGGGCTCTGCCCACCCGGACACGAACATTCACACCACAGTGACCAGGCTGGTGAGAGACAATCAATCTCCAAGGGAAAGTAGGGGAGCTGCCACCACCATGTTACTGTCTGTGAAGGGAGTGTACCTAGGGCACTGCCAGAAGCATGACACCTACCTCAAGCCCTGGTCTGGTCAAAACCTCTGCTGCAAGGAGCCTGGGGTCCCCGAGACTGCCCTTGCAAGGCAGATGACTGTGAAATATTTTCAAGCAAAAAATGGATAGGACAGTAGCCTTTCCTCTCCTCTCCCTCCCAGGAACCTTAGTGCTAGGCAATAAAGCTGAACCCGTCATGGAGGGGTGGGGAAAGTACCCTAGCACAGCAGCAGCAAGCAGTTTCCAGTGGTATTGGACAAGCTAGAGGTGAGAATTTGGTGCTGTGAGGGAGAGGATGCCGTACAGATATCTCTGGAAAGGCAGTGCCATGCAGTGGTTGGCCCACTGCATGGCAGTTCTTGTGAGATACTAAACCTTCATTAAACAGAATAGGAAAGGAGGTAGGAGCTATCCCTGTAATTCCCTCTGGGACAGCTCCAATCACAGCGGAGGGAGAGAGACTGGAATGACCCCTGCCAGTTCCTGAATGCCCTGCATTGTCCCTGCTGGTGCTGCGGCCTGTCCTGGGTGGGTTGTGTGGGGGTGTGGCTGCTCTACAGGTCGAGCAGCAGCACGCGGGGATCCTCCACCGCTGCCTTGATCTTGCGCAGGAAGGTCACTGCCTCTCTGCCGTCGATCAGCCGGTGATCGTACGTCAGCGCCACGTACATCATAGGCCGCACCTCGACCTGAGAGGCAGGAATAAGACAGGGATTAGTGAATTCAGCCCTACTGCCTGCATGATCCCCTCCCATAAATTCAGGAAAGACCTGGCTTTTTCCCACCCTGAATCTAGGGCTCAGGCTCTCCTGGATGTGTACTACCCACTCACTCACCCAGGCTGGGTCCACACCACACACAGGACTTTGTGGAGCTGTTCCCTATCACAAAGGCTACAACCTCCTCCTCTCTGCATGTAACCAGATTATGTCCAGTTCTCCCCCTCACGGATAGGACAAGGCCCCCTGCGCACCTGAGGCAAGTACAAGGGCCAGCAAAGCTGCCCTACACCCATTAGTCTTTGCTTCTCCTTCAGAGTAAAGCCTTTCAGAAGTTGACAACAATCCCTTAGAAAATATGGACTATGGTCCTCAACTCACTGAGCCCTTTGCTCTGTTCACTAGAACCTGCAGTGCAGGTCCACTTACCTTGCCTCCCACAGCCACAGGCCTATCAAAGATGGCATGCATGCCTAAGATGGCAGACTGGGGTGGGTTAATGATAGGTGTCCCAAAGAGTGACCCAAAAACCCCTCCATTGCTGATTGTGAAAGTGCCGCCGTCCATGTCTTCAATGGCCAGTTCATTCTTCCGTGCCTAGAAGAAAAAGTGAGGTCTTAGAAAGCCACACAGATCATAGAGAGCAAAGGACAAGGGTCTGAACATTCACACTCTCCAGGAATAAATACTGATGGCAAGAGCTTCGCTTATTGATCTATTCAGCTAAAACCCAGCACAAATTAGTTGAAAATGTATCTGTCTTTAGAGCTGAACATTTAGTGGCTTTAGGGAAGGATTCCTCTCCCCTTTGCTTTCAATTCCTGTTTTTGCAGGAAACAAGACACAGGGACTTCTATCTCAGGGCAGTTAAGCCTTGGCTTCTAAAGACAAAGGTGAAGAAACACCATGCCCCTAGTGCATAGTCTGTGGTGTTCTGAAAGGGCAACAAGTAGATAGAGCGGTCCTGGAAGGCACAGGCACAGCTACAGATGTAACTGGATCGCTCCCAACGGCGCAACTCACTATGTTAGAGGTCAGAGATGACGACACAGAGAGACCAAATCAATTCATGCCTATCCAGCACTCCCAATTCCTCCCATGCCTCCTAATCCTCTTCAGAAAAACCTCCAACTTTCCTTACCTTCTCCCCCAGCTCGTAGATAGCACGTTCTATGTCAGCAAAGTTCATGTTTTCTACATTCCTAACCACAGGGACCACCAGACCCTGTGGAGAACCAAAGTGCATGAATAGCAAATTCAGTGCAGCGACACACAGATGGCTATTATGGGGCAGGAGCTTGGCTGCAGACCCACAGAGTTCCTGCCTTTCCCTCAGTGCACAGCAGGTGGTGGGCAGATCTGCCTTGCACCCTGGCAGCCTGACAGAAAACCTGGCATGACACACACCAAGGGCTGACACCATAAAGGAGCCATTATCTTTGTCTTTGTTAGCCTGTCACATAAAATCAACCAGGTCTGTCTGGATCCAGCTCCACATTCATAAAAGCAGGTGAGGCACTGGGCAGATTTCAGCTGCCACCTCTTTTCTCTGTGAGAAGAGTGGAGTCCCTTTATGCTGGGCCTCCCCTAGACTCTGGGAGCAGTGATAGAACTTCAGTCTTGGTCCAAACTCTGCCTCACAACAGAATCTTCTAATCCAGAAGGTATTTCACTAATTAACATCTGTATCTGCATTCTACACTCTCCCTGGAGAGGAACATCTCTGTGCAATAGCACAGCAGTGTTAGCCAAAGGACACGAATGCAAAGCTTTTACTGTCTATGCTATACTTTCATAGATACACGACAAAAAAGGGTTTCCCTAACTTAGCCCTACTCATTAACAACTAAGATCTGTATTGACCCTGTTACCACATCTCCTAGTAAAGAGGTAGAACGCTCTTGCTCCTCCATTTTCTCTCAAAAGCTATCTCAGCGGTCCACAATGTATTTGGTGTCTCACTTACACAGTCAGTGTCATCACTTAATTTCTGCTGCAGCACAGTGCAGAGCTGAGTTGGCTAAAGGAATATGACTACCCCAGAGCAAAGGCTGCAGGAAGCAGAGACAAAGCAACCAAGGTACCTACCCGAGGAGTTGCTACAGCAACACTGATGTCCACATAGTCCCTGTACACAATCTCTTTGGTCGTGTCATCAATCACTAGAAAGAGAAAAAAGTTGTGCTACACATGCAGTATCCAAGACCAAGGGTTCAGCAGGCCAGAAGCATCCACAAAATCGCAACAACTTGCTCATGCCTAGCTTAAATGTAACTCCAGAGAAGAATAAGCCCTTGCTGCACCTGTGGGAGAAGCATCAAGATAGACAGAAAGGAAACCCAGTCCACATAGGTCAGCTCCCTCAGTTATTTTCCCCTTGGAAATCCTCTTCTGGATTTCAGCAAGCACCTCTGAGACTCCCTGGGAACTGCATTGTGCCTACAGCAGCTACCTGTACACCAACCAGCAGGCTCTGCCCTCTGCGGGCTGTGCACGCATGGCCCCAGCCCCACTCCTGGTCACCCCTTCCTAACAGAGCCCCCCTTGGCAAGCTGTCCTCTATCTACTTAAAATCAGCTGCAGCATGCAGGACTGCCCCCCTTTTTCCTGTGTGTTTGACTTGCTTGTCCAAGCTATTAGTCCAGCCATGGACTCGGTCATCTGTCACATTCACTGGTGAGACATGCAACTCACCAGCAAGGATCACCACTCACCTGCATTCACAACAGGCTGGTCCTGCAGAGCAAAAGCTGCAGCTTTCACAAAAGCTGACATGAAACCTAGCTTCAGGTTGTGCTTTTTCAGGAAGGTATCCTTGTGTACAGCTCTCATCTCCCGGATGTTGCTGCAAAATGCATGATAATGCTGGTAAGCAGGGAATCCAAGAAAACACTGTTCCCTCACTTTGTAATAGACTTCAGTGTCAGCCCCAAGGACTGCAAACATGCATCACCAAGTAGGAAACCACCAGTCTGCTGGAAAACTCTTCAAATGTCATAGGTACTGAACGTGGTTCTAAAGCTCCTGCCAAAGGATCAACATAACAGGGTTAACCTGCATGGCCCATACTGCCAGGCACAGAAGCAAGATGGGGCATGGCACATTTCCTGCTTAGCCTTGATGTTGCCACTGATTCTCTGGAGATACCAGTGCTCACACCCATGCAGCACCACAGACAGCAACTGCAGGTGTGCCTGGGCTGACACAAAGGGTGAAAAAACAGGAAATGCCAAAAGCAGAAAAGATGCACAAGGTGAGCCAAGGAAAAGACCTCAATCACTCTGCATGTCCAGTACCATGCAGTAGAACACCACCTCTGTATCCAGCTCTCTTTGAGTTGACTTTGGGAGTTGAGGGAATATGAAAGAAATCTTCCCAAGTGCTATGGTAGTGGGTGCCAGTCCAATCACAGCCTTCAATCAGACTAATCATGTTTTCCCACCATGTCTATTTATCAAAATTGAGACCATTTACAAAAAGTCAACCAAGCTGTGGCTACAAGCTCTGCCTATTCCAGGCTAACACCAGATGCTGTGGAATTGCACGGTCCATTCCTCCTCTCTTCAGACACCTTGAGTCTTTGAAGAGACAGTTTCAGCAAGGAGCAGGGTTCTCCGTGGCTTAGAGCGTTTGTTTTCCTGCACCTAACCTTGTTTAGAGATAGGATTACTGCCCAAAGACATTAGTGCCTCCCAAGACACAACTGCATGACTGCAGCAATGAGGAGGCGGTTTGCTATGAAACTCTCTCGTTATGGCCTCCTCCTTTCAGACACTGACCCCCATGGGAAGCAGGAGGCCCCAGTACAGGTCCTCACAAGTCAACCTCCCAGCACTCGATCCAAACCTGATTACCAGATGCAATGAGAGCCCTATGCCAGCGTAAAGCGACACCTCAATGAGCCTCTGAGAGGAGATAAAGCTGCAGCACTTTCCTCTAATCAAGACTATTTTGCCAACCTTATTGTTCTGAGACCCAAATATTTACATGTTTTGTCTTAAGGAGCAGAATAGGATTACACAAGGCAATTTGATTTGGGCACAATTTCCCCTTAATGCACTGTAACACAAGCTGCCCACCCTCCAAAGCCATTAGTGCGTTCAGTCCACGCAAGCACTTGAGTCAGGAGACCCCCACCTGCTTGGAGGGGATGGGGAAGGATGCTAGTTCATCTCTGGAAAGCTGTACCATCTGGCAGCAGAGACCTCAGACCTATGCAATGCTCACCTGAAAGGCTGATGAGCCCTGGAGAACCACCTCACTGGGAATTAAAATACCTCCAAAAGCAGTAACCTGGTGGGGTGGCAGAAAGCAGATGCTACATCTTGCTGTCTTCTAACAGGCACTGCACAAGTAATACTAGTTCCTCCTTGTCTTCTGCTTAACATTTACCAGTGCTCCACCAACAAGCACACAGGAGAGGAACGAGACTACCCCTTTTACAAGCAGCAGATGACTTCTGAGGAATGACAGGCCATTAGGAAGATAAGTACCCCTCATACTGCAACACTAACATGGCCCCAAAGAAGCTGCACAGACTGTGGTACACACCTAAGAGAGAGGTACCAAAAGACATGTTGCCAGTCTCTCCAAAGAGAACCAGCAAGGTTTTAACTGTCTTCATCTGTTTCTACTCATAAAGGGAAAAAGAGGTCTGCTCCTCACCTCATATCGATCTCATTGAAGGTGGTCAGCATGGCACAAGTATTCTGAGCCTCTTTCAGCCGCTGAGCAATACGCTGGCGCATCCTATTCATTTTCACCTGAAAATTAAAAAGGTATAAGTAGAAGCTGCCTCAAGTTCATCCATGGGGCAAACAAGAAACTCAAAAGCCCCTTCTCTTGCCATCTGGCTGACTAGTAATAGATGCCTAGGACCAAGGTTTTCACTCCAGGTCTCCCAGAGGAGCATGATGGGCTGAGGAGCTGATTTCACTGCTGAGCTCAACACACAGTTCACTTGAAAAGCAGTACTGAAATGCATCACTGTACAACTACTTTCAACCTCTGCGTTCCTCAGGACCTCCAAGCATGCCTAGCTTTCCAGGATGTGGCTAATGTGAGAAGAGCAAGACTGCTAAAAAGCAGGTTGCTCAGCCACGTTCTTTTAAGAATGCACAAGGCAGCTGCAGCAGCCTCAGCCCTTTGCTGAGGGCTTGTGGACAGACCAAGCAGATCACACGGAGTCCTTCTGTCCTTAGTCAGCAGAGCTCAAGACAAGGCTTTTGCCTAGAAAAGACCTGTGTCAGATTGGTCCTGGCTCTTCCTCACCCCCACCTGTAAATGGTTCCCTCATGTAGAGAATTTCCCAGTCTGTCCCAGTCCCACTGAGCTGGGTGTGTACAGGTAGATATGAGCATATCCGGAAAGCTTAAGGCTTATGCCAGAACAGATTATCACGCAGCAACACTGAAGCGCTGGCAAGATCCCGTTCCCACAGCTTACCCTATGCTCTGATCTGGCACCTTTGGTGGGCGCTGCCTCCCCCGGAGGGGCTGCCGCTGGGGCTGCAGCCGGCTTCACTGCAGACACTGAGGGCAAAAAAAACATCAGTCAAAAAGAGAAGCCACAAAGACAAGCTCTGAGGTAGAAAGCATGTTCGAGCTCCTTGCTTAAGCAACACAGTGCAGGAGCAGCCTTGCACTGGGCTCAGACAGTACCGTGAGCATAGCTGAGCTCTCCATACTGGAGCATGCAGGGGAATAATGAGGGAGACCTTCGCCATAAATGTCAGGCTGTTCGTGGTCTTTCACCTTACATGCTCTCCACAAGGAAGAGAGGCTTGAGAACAGGAATGAACAGCTGTTGCCTCACCTGGTTTGCTGTCAATGGGCTGAGTTGACACAGGCGGCACTGGTGGCATTGTTGTGGGAATTGGTGCTGCAGGAGGGGGAGGGGGAGGAGCAGCTGCAGCTACAGGTTCAGGGGCTGAAGGAGGAGGAGGGGCAGCTGCTGGTTTAGCCTTGGCAGGAGCAGCTAAAAGACAAGGAAGAACCATGGTAAATGCAACAGCTTCCAGTGCCAGGGATCTGAGAGTCCAACCAACCTGATAAAAATTAACCCTCCAGCAGAACCAAACTGATAAAAGTTAACCCACCAGCAGAGTGCCTTTATGTTCTCAGCACTACTGAACTGACAGGAGTCACACAAGAGAAACCCACGGTGAAAGAGTTCTACTCATCAACACCCTTGATCTCCTCACTGTCCAGGAGACTGGATGCTACAGAGAAGAGGGCAGAGAAAGGGAGTTTTATTAGGGGAATTCTTAGCTAGTTTTAGGTTAGAGCTCAGTCTCCTCCAGAGGGAACAGAAGTTCTCCGCTCAGAAGAACAAAATTATGCTTTTCTAATGGACAACAGAATAGGATTATTTTCTTCCAGCTACAGAGGCAGATGGAGGAATTATTTAACCTCTCTCAGGATCCCTCTAAATGCTTTCCTTTCATCTTGGGAAAAAGACTGGTGGAAACAGGAAGGCCTATGCAAGCAACACATGCTTGACTTACCTCCAGTTTTCCTGAGTTTGAACAGAGGTGTCCCCCCTTCGACTTTGCCACCATCGGGTACCAGAAGGGCTTCAATCACACCAGCTGCTGGGGCTGGAACTTGCACTGATGTCTGAAAAAAAGGAAAATCAGTGAAATTTCCCCAAAGGTTGGCTGGACAAGTGCCCAAGAGAAGATGGCAAAATCGGCAGATATACATTGTAATTTGGCACAGAGAGCAGCTATGTCTCACACCATTTGCACCAGTTTTCACACCCTCCACCAGGATTTTGTGCCAATGAAGTTTTAGGAGATGCTGGCAGTGCAACATATAGCCTGATCTCCAGGGTACAGTCAAGAACTGACCTGCTGCCAGAATCTTCCTGACAGCAACACTGAAAGCAGAACTTGGCAGAGAATTTAGCAAGAACTTCAAAGCTTAACAGTCCTTTAAGGGGTGGGTAAATTTAAAGCCTAAATTTAAAACAATCTGAAGACAACCTATGGCTTGCAGATTTCTTCTTTGTTTAAACACAAACAGGTTTCAAAGCTTAGAGTACTCTTGGAATTTCAAGGAGAAGTGAACTGCAGCTTCAACAAACATCAGCACCACTATTATTAATCACATGTATGAGTAATTAAGAATTATTAAAGAATTCTCACTTAAGGAACAGCCAGCTCTCACAGCCAATCAAAAAAGTTTTTCTCCATAAAGGGAGCAGGAGACACAGTCAAGGCCTGCAGGCTGTAGGAGCTCTTAGCAGGAGAGGAACCATACAGGGTACCTGCTACAGAACTAGAAAAAGTTTTGGTCCAGAAAATTCCTACCTTGTCTGTTTCAATCTCACACACCACTTCATCTTCCGCCACTGTGTCTCCAACAGCTGAATGACAGATATGAAGACCACTGTGAGGAGGGAGGTGTGCTCCAGCCTCCCCTCTTTACCCACAGCAGTCTCCCACACTAACCCAGAATTTTTTCACCTCAGCTCTCCACAACTTCTAAAGAAACGACTAGCTCAAACAATCAATCCACTGCACAGTTAAGAGTCTGATTCCAGCTTAGACATCTCCCTTCACCCAACATCACCCATGACTAGGGGTGACAAGGCAGTAACTGCAATCCTTACCCCTTAGGAGAACTGCAATTAACTGCCTCATTTGTCACAGCCTGAAAGGCACACAGCAGGCTGTCAGCCAGCAAACTACAATGCATCCCTGAGCTGTCCAACGCAGCAGCAATGGTGCTAAGAATTTCAGGGAAAAGGCAACTGCTTACCTTTCTCCCACCTCACATCTCCTTCTGTGACTGACTCTGCAAAGGCTGGTGTGTTCACCGTAACCACGTCATCCCCTGTGAGAGAGACAGATAGATCTGAATGCATTCAGAGCTCCAAACTTATGGCATCGCTTCGTTCTTGTCATGCCAGACAAAATCCTTAGGGCCCTGGGGATATAAACCCTCAGCTGTCCATGCAGGCAGAACAGCAGTGACCCATGACCAAGGATGGAAGGTAGCTTCAGCTGTTGTCAGGACAGCAAGAAGTAACAAAAGAAGCATCCTGCTAACTCCTGACTTTTTACTTACTACGTACTGCAGTGGTTCTGAAGTACCGGACAGTGAAGACACTGGAGCTATTTACTCTGCAGAAAGAGAGAAAGGTATGAACATAGAAGCATGGTCTTATGCAGGCTGCTAACACCAAGCTCAAGTACAGAATTTACATTTGTTTAACTGATGTGAAAGGCTGCTTGGCTGTTCCCATGTAATTTTTTAAGGGACTCCTACTTACTGCTCACACTGCAACAATCCAGCAAGAAAGGAAACATCACATCCTACCATCACTAGTGCTCTCAGAAACTCAGGGAGAACTGACATGTATGGAATTTTAATTTAGGCAGACAACCCAACAGAACCCCTGTGGTTTAAACACTGATTAAAGGGTGACTAGACAGCCCCCGCTATGCCCAAGACTAGTGCAGCAACCATTTTTTACTTCCAGATTAGGACTGTCATCTCTACAGAAGCTGTCAGATTGCTCCAAAAAAAAAAAAAAAAAAATGGAAAAGCACCATAAATTGCCTATGGCAACACATCCAAGAGACAGCTATTTCTCTCCACCATGTTTCTTCAGGGAAGCTGAAATTCCAAGCATTCCAAAGGATGATTTTTATTGACATCACATTTGGAAAGCTGAAACAAACATGCTTTAGCATTTCCTCTAGCACAGGCTACTTCATACAAACAGACCAGGCTTTTATGCATGTGCTCTTATGGTTATTTACCCAAATACATTTTTACAAGACCACCTTAGCAATGCAAACCCTGTCATATGAACAACAGCTCTGTAAACAACCCCATTTCTCCTGACAGAAAACCTACCAGAAGACCATCATAGAGAAACAACACCTCTAGTCAACAGTTTCCTAATTCCTGTCCCTTCCCTGCCCTTGGTATCTGTTTTCAGACAAAGCTTCTTTTCAGTTCCTGACCTGCAAAACCTAGATTTTGTTAGGGCTATCTCCACGCTACTAAGATGTGCAAAAGGATTTCACGACAGCCAACCACATTCTGTTTCTCAGCCCCCAAATCTTTTCATGGTCAGAGCAGCCCCAGTCCCTCTACCTTACAGCTTTCCTGGGGATACTTACAGAAGCTTCCTGCTGTTTGTGTAAGCCAGTGCCTGGCTCCCAGCCACACCTGTGAATGAGAAAGGAGTTAACCCACAGGAAAGTTACCCAGTCCTTAAATGTCCCTGTCAGGTAAAAGAATGCAGAGGACACCACTGTTCACCCTGAAAGAAGCTTGGGACTAAGGGGAATATAGTCATGCAGAGACACCTCAGTGCCATCAAACCTGCCCAGAGCTTGCCAGGAACAGTGGTCTTGTCTTCATCTAGATTTACAGCGATGGGAAAAACAGTTATATCTTGATCTCAAAGCTAATAAAAATAACTTTGAAAAGGGTAAACAAAGCAGCAGCCACCTTGGTCAGAAGGAAACCAGGAAGCAGTCATGAGGAACACCTCCAGGACCGCTGAGTACAAAGGACAGGAGCAAGGCAGCCCCCTAAGAGGCACCTCCCAGGAAGCCTCACAGTCATATGGACAGGTAAGGAAGAAAAAAGAATGAAAAGACGGTGTAGGGCAGAGTAGCCAGCTACCATCATTCCTCTTCTCTGTCCACTCACTGTCCAGAGAATTTATTTTCCAAAACTCACAACAGAGAAGTACTTGCACAGCTTCGCAGTTTCACATACCCCACTGTCCCCTTCCCACATTGCTCACTTGCCCTGACACTGCAATTTTTATTACCAACTGAACTCCTGTCCTTTGTCTCTTACAGGGCACTGGGCAATTTTCCAGACTGATCTTAAAGAGAGTCAGAATAGTAACTGGAGAACATAATTACTTCAATTACACAATGCCAGAAGGAAGAACCATTTCCCCATTTGATTTTTTTAAAAGCAATATAATTTTTACACCATCCCCTGCTAAAGAGCTGAACTGGAACTCTAGAAACCAAAAAAAGTAAGCAGATTTAACTGGTTTCTCAAAGTGGAATATGAAGTGAGTGATGTAATACTATATAAACACAGTACAGCTAGAAGAAACAGAGCTCTAAGAAAAAACAGTTTAAGCACCAAAGTGTTCACAGGCGAACCAGATTTGATACATCACAATATTCACCTATCATTTTCAAGGGAGTTTATTAGAGACCTAGGGTTCTGCAACAGCACATGCTTCAAGCACTGCAATGCTTGAAATACTCTTTGCTGTGCTGTTGGAATCTTCACCATAGCCAAAGGGATCAGTCAGCATGTACATTATGCAAGGGAGGCACTCACAGAGAAACTTAGCTCATTTCACTGTTTCTTCATTACACGATTGATTGAAATAAACCCCAGTAAAACCTATTACCAACCTCCATCATCAGCTCTGTTCTTTCTAAGTAGTTTGTAGATGAAAGTGTTAGACTCACCAGACAGAGAGCATCTTGCCAGAGTACAGTTCCCCTGCAAGAGAGAAGAGGATCTATTAGTATTACAAGAAGATAGATCCATCCTACGATGGACTTTGGTTTTTCCATGAGATCTGAATCAGAGATAGGACCCACCATTCCCATGCTCCAGTCTGCAGGCATGCTACTTTCCCACAGTGTGCTAGAGAAGGAGATGGTGAGAACACCTACACCCTTCTCTTTGCTTTGTCTCCTTCCAGGGTGCCTTCTGGTGACAGTGATGTTAAATATGATGCTTTTGGTTTTCAGCTGTGGTTTCAGCTGTTTTGACTTTCTTATGCACACTTTCCTCTTCAAGAAGGAACAGATTTCTAATAAAATTTGCTATGAATGAGAAGGCCAAGGGTAGCTACTGGATACGATGAAAAAACATCCCATGATGTTTACTCCTACAGTCGCAAATGCAGCATCTAAGGTTTTTTAAAATTTGTCCTAAAGCTATGGGGCCTTTGAACTCCAGAAGGCCAGAATTGCCCTCAATGGCAAAATTTCTACCATTATCAGAAAGACAGGAATTCCACCTTCTTTTGATGTTTCACTGCATGTAATCAATGATTACCCATGTAATCATTGACTGCACTCCTAGCTCAGCATAACAGTCCTCAAAAGACATTTCAAAGATATTCCAGTTACTTTCCCTATTGTTATTATACACTTCTCTAGCATCAAACCTGATTGTCTGGAGAACCTAAGAACTCATTCAAAGCAATAGGAAAATATCACAGTAATCATGACTAAAATGCAGTTGACTGGTTTAGAACAAGCCAGATACTCAAGAGCTCAAAGCACCCTTATCCTCCAGCTAAGGTAAAATCAGATTTCCTTTACACCTTCAGTATCTGAAGTCTGCATATAAGCCCTGATTTCAGCTTCAGCAGAGCAAGCAGGACAGGATATAACTGGTCTTATATAACAGAATAATATGAGGAGCTGTGTGGTAAGACAACATAGAGACCAAGGACCAACAATTACTAAAGCTTGGCATACCATCTACAGGACTGAGTGTTGTAGCATAAAAAAATATATTCAGTGTATAGTTCATATCAAAACTACTAACAGGCCTGGAATTGACCCATTGGCAGTTTAATTATCCAAGCTTATCAATGGATTTGGTTTCTTGGATATTCACAAAGAGTCAACTCAATGATCGATGGGCATTTCAACAGGGTTATGATCAGCTGTGCCAAGGATGCAGGCAGCCAGGCCGACTTGTTGCTAAGGTCCAGCACAGCACCATGCAGCTACCCTGCCTGCTGGTCCTCTGCAGGGATAACGATCCTGGAACAACAGTCCTGCAAAACCAGCTTCTGGCAGGGCTCGCTGGAGCCCCTACCCCAAATCTGGCTGGGGAAGGGAAAGCAGGAAGCACTGAGCAGACTTTGCAGAGTCATCTTGAATGCTACAATGCTTAATCTTGGTGTAGCACTGGCCCCTCCTAACTCAGATCTGGTTTGTTTAGAGCCAGGCCTAAGCCAGGATCAGTAAGACAAACTTCCACTGAACTCCGCTGGGTCAGCCATCTGAAGTGCCACAATCCTCAGCACATATGGTAGTTCCTGTATTGATCAAATTCTTCCCAGTTTCCGGAGTGTCCCAGATAACATGGAGTCAAATAGAGTATCAAGTGACCTGAGTTCCCCTCTGCCCACTAATGTTTTCCTGGGTGCATTATTAAAAAAGTGGTTAAAGGCATTCCTAGCATGCTAAAAAATTAAGAAAGGAACAGCCTCAGAATGAAGCAAAACCAGACAATTTTATTTGCTCAGGACCAGTTTACTGTGAAGTTAAAACAAAAAAAAAAAGTTCAGAAGGCCTGTCCCAAAAATAAATATCTGTGAGAAAACACATCTGCAGCTCCTTCCCTGAGAGGCACCAAGTCTATGTTTTACAACCATACCAAAATGAAGGAAATAATCGGTACCACTCTGTCCTTCTATCTTTTAGGTTAAGAAATGAGGAAAAGAGCTTAATGTAAGGAGGAAGCCACTAATAAAAAATCCTGAGATTTCTCTGGCTTGCATTCTGCAGAACTGCTGTGTGCCTGTCTCTTAACTGTGGTACCTCAGAGATGACATGCAGCTCCAGGAGACGCCTGACAGCGCTGTTTCGCTTCCCTTTCTCCATGAAGGAGTCACCGTGATTGCATCTGTTCTGGTATCACCTGGCTAAATCTGCCCGCTATTGGAGATTTTTCAGTGAAAATGGAAACATTTTGGTTTTGCTACCTGGCCTTAGCTCTTTGGGTCATTTTAAAAAGAGAACCTTTGCTTGGAGAAAGAATTCTCAGTCTAATTAACTAGTGACTCATGTATCAAGTGATTATTTTTTCCCCCTCGTTTCACATGACTTCTCAGAATTGTTTTTACAACTGTTATTATGCCAAAGTGACCTTGGTACACATTGTCCCAGGCCACATCTTTCAAGGAGTCATCACCTTCCAGGAGGTCACTACACACTGACATAAACCATGGAATACATGAGCTAAAGCAACAGCCTGTATACCAACAGGGAGATCAGGGACCAGCTCAGGTAAGAACAGGACAGTGCAGCTCATTTCAACAGAGGCAAACAGAAACCAGTGTCGGGCAGCTCCGACAACAGGCAAAGCAGAAACCACTTCTCCAGCCATGGCTTTTCCAGAGTAAAGCAAATGCTGGTTTGACAAGGATGAGCACAAACCACTGCACACAAAAACCCTACTGCACAGCCTTCATGGGTATCAACACTATTATATATAGCATGGGGGGCAGATGCCAAGGTGGGATGGAGATAACAATGCCGAGTGGTGATGGATACTGTTACTAAGACAACAGGCTGAGAACTCCTCGAGCAGAGAGGAAGATCAAACAGGGAAGAAAAAGTTCTTTACAAACACCTTCCCAGATAAACAGGGCTTGATTCTCAAAGCACCAAATGCAGCTCCTGATCAAACCATTCTTTTTCAGACTAGCTCTTCTCTGGACTTTTTCAGGTCATCCTTCAACAGCTGCCTGCCCCCACCCTGACTCTCACATGCTACAGGGTATTGATGCACATTCATGATTTCTACTTGATATATGAGTTCAGGACCTTTTTCTCTTTTACCAGCCATCAAAATCCAGTCAACCCTTCCTCACCCTCACTGACTCTACTCTTCTCCCATTCAACCCTCCACTTCTGAATTTTCTACATATTTACTGTTCTCACTTTTGCCATCAGAAGTTTGCCAGGTTCTGGCATTTCTTTCCCTTTTTCCAAAGAGCATCTATTATCCCTGTCACAGAAATTGCTTCCCATATCACTGCTCAAATAGAAACCAAACTACTACCACTCAACTTTTCCAGTACAACTAACAGGTTAACTAGAAGTATCTCACTTTCCTAGCACTCGGTTAAAACCTCCGGATTTGCCACACCGGTCTGTTTTGAATACTCCATCTGACTTCTCCCCTCTTCTGTATAATTGCACAGCACCACTGAGAGCTGATGTGTAAATATTGCTAAAATGCCACTTAAATAAGTTTTAAACTGCACTATAATCAATTCGTATCTATATATACATATAACAAACTATACTGTATAGTAAGCTATAAGTTGTTTATCGTGCAGTTTTACATGTTTATAAACACAAATCTATTTGTCAAGCCCAAAGACAAGCATTTACCACAGAGCAACCCTATGGAGAAGCATAACATAGTTAATCAGCTGTCAACGCTTGCTCGCCTACATTTACACGATGGCTAAAATCAAGTCCCATGCTCTAAGGCTCCAGCTGGTCACCCGGCAGCGGTATTTCTCCTCCTGTAGGTGTGCACATACATTTGTGCACAAAAGGCTGGGCACGTTCGCTATTTAAACGGAAGATGTGTCCAGGAGTCACCGAACAGCAGGACCCAGCTGGCCAAGGGCAGCGCCGGGGTTAAGCTGCCATCGAGCTCTGCCACCCGCGGTGCCGCCAACGCGGGTCACCGCCGTTTGCCACGGCTCAGGGGCTGCTCTGAAGGCCGAGCACGGAAATCAAACACCAAACCGGACACCGGTTCGCTGCCGTTCCTGCCCCGGGCGGACCCCGCCGGGGGGTCTGTGCCAGCGCAGGCCGGTGGCTGCCAACAGCGGGGGCTCCGGACGCTGCAGCCGCCGGCGGGCGAGGGCGGCGGCGATCGGAGGCCCTTCCGCCGGCCGGCCCTGCCCGGTGCCGCCGCCCTTCCCGCCGGGCCGGGCCGGGCGGTGTCGGGGCAGAGGCACCGCTGGGAAGGGGCAGCGCGACGCCCCCCGCGGCCGTTGCCGGGGCAGCCCCGCCGCCCCTCCCCGTGCCCCGCTGGGCCGGGCCGTGCCCCGGGGCGGCGGCGCCGGGCAGCAGGGGACGCGTCCCGGTGCCCTTGGCGCCGCCGACCTCGCCCGCCCGGCCGCCGCCCTCCCTCTCTGCTCCGCTCCCCAGGCGCTGCCCGCGGGCCGTACCTGTCGCAGGGCGCGCAGCGAGCGGCCCAAGGCGCGGCCGAGGCAGCGGGACCGCCACAGCGGCACCATCGCGGCGGCGGCGGCGGCGGCGGGAGGGGCCGCGGGGCGGACACCGGAACCAGGCCCCGCGCGGCACGGAAGCGCGCGGGGCCGCACCACTCGCCGCGGGACGGGGGGAGCGCGACCGGAGGGGCGGAACCATCGCGATCGGGGGGCACAGGGGGAGAACTGGCCTCGGGGGCAGGGCGGGGGGACGAGGGGTAATAGTAATGTTCGTATGTGTCTCCAGATATGTAATAATAATATACATATATAACATGTATGTGTTGCGTATATACCTATAAACACACAGATTTGTATATATGCATATTATTACATGTCACGATATATATACTTGTAATAATAAATATACGTAATGATAAATAATCCTATGTATTACCAAAGAGCGCCGTTTCATGACACTCTTAATTGAACCGGCTTCGGATTGCTGGAGGGCGGCTGTACGAGTGGTTTTCCTGCTCACCTTGGCAAACCACGGGGCTCATGTGGAATGACATTGCCGCAAGCGCCAGCCAGTGGGATGTTGCATGGTTAGAAACGGGCAATGAGGTCATCTCCCTGGGGTAAACTGGCAAATGAGTCGACAAGTAAGCCCTGTTCCTCAGATGTGGTCTGTATGCTAAAAACCTTTGAGAATCCCCCAGCTAGTTTCTGTTTTCTGCCTGCTGCCAGGTGGGGAGCCACTGGGGGGAGAAAACCAATGAACCTATTTGCAGAATCTGAGAATTAGCCTGGGATAGTTATACAGTGCTGTCTTGCAGCCAGGCATCTCTCAAGGAGCCAAGTCTGGGTTATGCACATGTCCTTAATTTATCCATTGCTTAATAATATATGAATGGTAAACTGCAACCTTCAAAATATGGGATCATTTCCAAAGGAAAGAGATTGAATAAAAATCAACAGGGGATAGTCCCTGAGGCTTTGAGGATGTGCTGACTGCTTTAATAAAAGGCAACTGAACTAGAAAGGCTCTCTGTCAGGGATTTCCCTGTGATGTTTTTTGAACACCTGATGTCAACTGCTTTTAACCACAGCCTCTTGCCTATCCAGTAAATACCCTAAACATTACCACGCTCAGTAAGCATGTGAAGGCAGCTGAAGCCCCAGGAGTGACACACGTGGCTCAGCTTTTGTCCACCCACCTGCAGCTCCTGCATGAAGTTAAGCACCTGACAACCACACGTGCCCCTGGGGCAGGTAGTTTGTCTTGGGGCTGGTGTTGGGGCATGCCCAGCCAGGAGGGATACCAGCTCTGCAGGCTGTGGCACTGTCCCTAAAGCACCCTGTGACAACGGACCCTGTATTGCTGCTCTTCCTGTGTTGTCCCATTTCCTGGCCATGTCCTACACTGCAGACCTCCAGTTCAGCCAAAGCGCATTTGTGTACCCATGGTGGGGGATGCTGGAAATGCCTGGGCGCTTTCCATGGGAGATGGGTAGCACCTGGGCTCCAGGCTGGCTCCTTCCTTGCCTGTGGCACTGCTTGTCAGTCTGTGTATCTGCACCGTCTCACCAACGGTTCACCATCCTGGGTCTGGGATGGGGTTTCCAGGCCAAATTGTAGGGGGGATTTGCTCTTCTGGCTCTCTGCCCACTTGGGCAGCCAGCAGCTCGGCAGCAGCCCTTGCCTGTCTGACTGCGGGGGCTATGAGTGTGGGAGACAGCTGAGAGGCAGGGAAGGTGGCTGGACCCTGATGCTGGACCTGACCTCCTGGATGTCCATCTGCATATTCAGAAGTCGTTCCCAGCTGGTTGGCTGCCTCCGGCCTCCCCACTCCCTCTTTAAAGGACCTGAGCGCAGTAGGAGGACGCGCTGGCTCTGCAGCATCCCACGGCCCCTGCCTGCAGGACAGTGTGGGACACTGCTCCCAGCACCCCTGGAACCGAGGTGAGTGGGGTGAAGAGGTGAGAGCCGCAAGGGTTGGGGATGGCCGGCTGAAGACAGAGGGATGCAACAGATGAGGAAGGCTCTGGGGGGATTTGCAGTGCTGGAGGGGCGGCACAGCTCTCTCACTGAGGAGCACCTGGGGAGCCCATGTGGGTTGGCTTCAGTTTTGGAGAGGGCACACTTGCCTTCTCTTCTAAGCATCTTCACTTCATTCCTCAGTCTTTTCCTTCAGGTAAGAGGAGCCTCGGCCGCTTTTTAGTGTTCTGGAAGGTGGCACTGGTGAAGGCTGGTAGTAAGAGTAGGAACCAAAGCACGTATCTGCTAAGTCAGCCAGGAAAGCGCTGCATCAGCAGGAGCAGTTTGCTTGGGGCAGCACCTCCTGGTCCCTGCGGTGCTGGGGAGGCTGTGAGGGGGAAATGAGGCCACCTACAGCGAGCTGCCACAGGCTGGGACCGCAGGCTCTGCTCCCTCTCTCCCTTCAAATCTCCAGCAGAAAGATGGTGGTGCTGAAAACCCTAAGCAAGTGGAGGGCTCCTTGCAAGCTCTGAGTTGATCTGCTTACAAGGGGTGTATTGCCCCGGGTTCCTGGGGCTGGGAAGCCTCAGCACAGGGGACAGGTAAGCTCCCTGACCTTGCCGTTGAACACACTAGAGGTGAGAAATTGTGAGCAAGTGCCAAAAGGTGTTTCTTTTAAAAACCAAGTGAGGTAGCACGACTGGCTGTCTTGTCCCTGTGCTATTGCAGAAAGGCTTAAGTGGGGGGATGGAATCTATGGCTGCAATGTGTGTTTGCTGTGTGACTTTCTTGGATGCAGCTGGCATTCTAAGAGGCAACTGCAGTCAGTGGTGAAGCTTGTTACACAAGGGCCAGGCGTGATGCTGAGAGCTGCCGGCAGCCTGCCCTTGCACTGGCCATTGATAAACTGAGCAGTTTGAAAGCCCCCACAAGAGACTGTTAGGAAAATGAAATCCTACTGGTCAAGAGGGGTGGGTAGACAACACAGGAGAGCAACAAATGGTGTCAGATAACCCAGAAAAGACTTAGTTTGTAAAGACTAGGGCTCTGGAAAAGGTAGAGCTCTCCCAGACACCTGCCCGGAATACAGAGCTGTTTGAAGAAAGGCAACCTGCTAAAAAACAGTGAGAAAGAAACCCATTTTCCACACTGCCTGGAGGACTCGCCGGAGAGCAGTCAGTCATGGGGACAGGAGACTGATGGTGTTGAAAATGATCAGACATTTCTGGGTAGCAAAAGAATCTCAGACTTTAAAGATGTCTGGAAAACACACAAGCTGTCCTATTTCAGTGGTGCAAAGCTACTGCTAATTAATGTGGATGAGGAAGAAGTATCCCACAGGAACAGTTACTGTGTAATTGCCCAGGATACGAGCTTTTACACCTTCTTTTGCAAAACTGTCTGAGCGAGGGAATGAGTGGAGGGGTGGATCCCTTAGTGGAGTCAGCATGACAATTTTAAGCCTGGGGCTGCTGGCTCAGTAGTTTTTCTCTTTCCTGATAATCCCCATTCCTTTTATTCATTGTTTTGCCAAGCACTTAGGAACCCCGTGCTGTGTTAGCCTGAACATCTCAGTGGGTCCCACTTGCAGCAGGTCACATCACACTTTTACTCTCACTATGCCCCTTTCCACCAGCCTGTTTTTGCTGGCCCAGTCCCCCAGCGCTGCCATCCATCCCCATGCCCTGGTGCCTCTGATGGTGGGTGCTGGGGGCTGGCAGAAGCCAGCAGCAACCATGCCCTGGTGTGAATGCCTTCACCAGGAATGCAGCTGCTGTTCTGTGCTCTGTCAGCACCCAGGAGCACCCAAACCCACCTTTGCCCAGGCATATGTGGCAGAGGGCTCCACCTGGTGCTCACCACCCTTGTACCTGAGTCCACAAGCTCAGAGGGGAGTTTCCTCAAATGCCTCTGGTGTGGATGCAGCTGGCAGTGTGTTGCCAGGCACATCTGGGGCCCAAACCAGGTAAAATGTACTCTGGGCACGATGAATCCCTGGCTGGTAGGTGGGAGCTGTGGCAGTGCCCAGGGCATTGCTGCTGTGATGTGACACCCAACAGCCTGCTCATAGCTTTTGCAGTGCTTGGAGGTTTCTGCCTGGGTCATTCCCTGGTGAAATAGTTTTTGCAAGGGAGCAGTGATGCTATGGAAATCTGTGAGGAAAAATATCTGGCCATGTGCATGGAGAACTGCTGTATGAGGTCCTGTTTCTTGCTCTTTCTCCACTTCCACACTGCTAGCAGGCTGAAACATCAAACAGCTGGGAAGCCTGCTAGTCTGACACTGGAAATGATCCCCAACCAGCTGAAGGTCAGCTCTCCAGTGTACAGGCAGGAAGAAGACAAAATGGATAGCAGGACTGGCTTTGAGCAGGACAGAGGCCATGCCACTTCAGGGCATGGCCAGGAGCTGAATTCGGAGCCCTGTTTCCAGACTGACTCTCTTTTGCCTTCCTCCAATGCATCCCTCATATCACAGTTCCTCAGCCATCCAATGTTTGGCAGGAGCCTGGACTCCACCATCCTTTTCCCTTCCTCTCAGGCAGTGGCCCTGCCTCAGGATGAGCATGGTGCATCTCCTGGAGAAGGAGCGCAAGCCTTGGCTTTCCCCAGAACCCGTGCCTCGGCTCCCATGCCCTGTGCTGGTGATGGGGACCAGCTCTCTAACCAGCACCTACGAGCCAAGAGGGCCAGAGTGGAGAGCATCATCCAAGGCATGAGCCTCCCACCAACCCCTCAGGCATTTGGCACCAACCTGGAGGCAGCTTTTAGGCATGAGAAGGAGAGGGGTGGTGAGATGCCCCAGGAGAACAAGAGGAAGCCAAAGATGCCCCAGCAGGGTCTGGGAGTGGCTGGACGAGTGGCCCCCATGGGTGGCAGCTCCCATGCCAAGGGCTGCCAGCAGCTGAAGGAGCAGCTCTGCTTTTTAGAGCAGCAGCTGAGGCGGCTTCAGGAAAAGTTCTACCAGGTCTGTGACTCTGGGGATGCTGCCCAAACCCAGGAAGATTCTGAGAAAGTGCAGCCACTTCCTGAAAGACCCAGAGACAGACTGGACAAGGACAGTGCCACTGTCACCAGCAACCCCTGCAAAGCACCTCTCTGGAGGAGCATCCGGGAGGTGCGTGGGCTGGAGGAGGACAAGGACAAATGTGACACAGGTGGCCTGCCCACAGCAGTGAGGGTCCTTTCACAGGCACTGAAGCATGAGCTGGCTGGGGTAACATCCCAGGTGGTGGACTCTGTCCTGAAGACTGTCTGGCCAAAGGCAGCCAGCCACCTCCAGCAGCAGCACAACAGCTGCCTGGTGCTGGGGCCAGATGCCAGGAGAGAGTATTTTGCTGGTGGGAAATGCAGAAAGCAACTTGCTAAGCCATCTCCCATGAACGCACCAGGCTCACTGGGCTTAGCCCAGGCTCAAGTCCTGTCAGGAGCTTTGGAGAAGAGCCCAGGCTCTCATGCTGGCTCCTCCAGTTCAAAGGGCATCAGAAAATCCTCTCAGATACCCAGCATGGGTTATTCACTGAGCCCAGTCACCCCTGTTCAGGACAGCCAGCTGTTGAGCCAGCTGTTGGACTACGGCCAGCACAGCCTCTGGGGCAGCAAGTCTCATGGGAGCCCATCTGCTCTGGAGAGGGGTCCTCCAGAGCCCCTCAGCTTGCACTGGGGAACCGTCAAACTGAGGTCCTCGGTTGTGAGACAGCAGCAGCACCATCCCCTGCCCCTGAGTCCTGCCAACAGGGAGAGTCTGGCACTGCTGCCGGCTGGCAGGGATGGCCACAGTGAGCTGCCAGCTGTGATGGATGGAGCACCCTTTGCCTCGACTCAGATATCCTTTGGGGGCAGCTAGAGAAGTCCCTGGGGAATGTGGTCCCCTTGTCCTATGGAGCCACAGCTTGGCAAAGCCCCTGCCAGTCTCTGCAAGGCCAGGGTCCCTAATGCTCCACAGGGGGCTAAAAGGGTGTGAGCAAGAAAGAGGTCCTAAGCCATGGAGGGTCACTGCTGGTCCTCAGGGTTGGTTAGATGCTGTAGTATAGCTGTGGGCCTAAGTCAGGAGCTCCCAAGCCTGTTCTTAGGCCATACTAGTGGTCCTATAATCCTATGCTATGAACAGGTGTCTCATGGGAATCCCTGTTCCCACTAGCCTGTACAGTGCCATGGGCATTAGCTTCTTCAGGGATGCTGAAGGGAAAATCCAGTGGCTGCCCAGCCAGGAGCTAATCCCCTGTGCCCTGCTGCCAGGCTGTGGGGAGGAGCTGTCATGGGCACTGGGTATGCGTGTGTCAGGGCTGGTGCTCAGGGACATGCTGAGCTGGGGGACTGCTGCGTGCAGGCTTTCCTTGACTCTAAGGCACATGCAGGAGGCACTGACCCCCAGCCACCTGAAGAAGGCCAAGCTGATGTTTTTCTTCACTCGCTACCCCAGCTCCACTCTGCTGAAGACCTACTTCCTTGACGTGCAGGTAAAATGGCAGTAACCTGGGCTGGTGCCTCCGTGCAGTGTGGCACTTAGCCTGCCTCACTGGGCAACCATGAGGGAGGGCTGCTCTTGTGTTTCCCTGCCTTGCTAGCAGGAGCCAGAGGACAGCACCCATTTCAGCATGGGCTGCCCTGGAGCAGGTGCTCAGGGCTATGGCAGAACTGGGTTGCCAGGTCTTCACTGTGCAATTGAGGTGTTGGGATTCAAGCACATTGGGAGTGTGTCTCCCCACTTCAGGGCAGCTGAGATCCAAATCTCAGTGGGGAGAGCACTGTGAACACCCCCATGTCATTGTCCCAGCTGGTATTTCGGCAGCCCTGAGGCAGGGTTGGGTTTGGGCCAGGCCAGAATTGTGTGGCTGGGTTCATGGGGTCTCAGGCATAGGGAGGCTCCAAGCTGACATAACCCATCCTCCTTCTCTCTCTGGCAGTTCAGCCGCTGCATCACCTCCCAGCTCATCAAGTGGTTCAGCAACTTCCGTGAGTTTTACTACATCCAGGTGGAGAAGTTTGCCCGACAGGCCCTGCTAGAGGGTGTGGTGGATGCTTGCACTCTCCAGGTCTCCCGCGACTCAGAGCTCTTCCGTGCCCTCAACATGCACTATAACAAGGGCAATGACTTTGAGGTGAGGAGGGGGAGCTGGGGGATAAGGATGGTGGGGTTTGCGGGAGCAAGGAGGAGCCAGGAATACTGTGGTGCCATGAGCTGATGGCCATCTTGCTGCAGGTGCCAGGGCGGTTCCTGGAGGTGGCCAGTGTGACGCTGCAGGAGTTCTTCAGTGCCGTCAGGGCGGGCAAGGATGCCGACCCCTCCTGGAAGAAACCCATTTACAAAATCATTTCTAAACTGGACAGCGACATCCCGGAAGGGTTCAAAGCTGCCGGCTGCTCCCAGGAACTGCTCCACAGCTGAGTCTCTGTAAAAGCAGCCCCAGGTCCTGCGTGCAGCCACCATGTGTTAAGCACCTCATGGGCACTGTGTACAACATACAGTATTCAGAGTACTCTCTCTCTGACCTGTAAGACAGCTCCTTGGGTGAGGCCTATCACTTGCCTCAGGAGCTGGGATTTTATGCTGTGTATTCTATTCCTCTGCTCAAAGCCAGTGGGGACCTGCAGAAGGAAGAGACAGGGATGAAGCCATCAGGTTGGAGCCTGGGAAATTGCCCTGCCCCAGCTCTCCCCGCGACCTTGGCTGAGTGCCTTCCTTCTCTCCTCCAGAGGGCCACAGACCAGAGCAAACAGCCCTGCTGTTTATAAAGCAGGCAGACGTCCTACTAGTGGGCAAAGTTTTCTTGGCATAGCAGACTGGCGGATGAGCTTGGTCTAACAGCATGACTCAGTTTCTGTCCAGATACAACACACCAGTGTCCAAAGAAAACAGCTGGTGAATTCTCCAGCATTTCAAGCACCCCAAGGGGATAGCTGACTCTGTCTGGGAGTGTAAAACTAGTGTTTATTGTAGCCAGCACAAATAACATTCCCCCCTGCCTCTCCTGTGCTGTTTGAAAAGACCCTGCCCCCACCCAAACAGCTGCATACTGTGGCCAAGCAGTTGAGTATGTGCTGGTTGCAGGACCAACTGCTCCTCAGCAGTGTTATCCGTGATGCTGGAAGAGAGCAGGGTGCATAGCTGGCACTGTGCAGCACTGCAAACAGCCCCTATCAGCCTGGGAGGACCTGGAAGAACAGCCCCACATTAAACACTCACTCATGTTCCCTCACATCACGTTTCTGCTGGCAAAACTGCCCCAAGTATCTCTGCTTTGCAATGTGTCCGTGATGAAAGAGGAGCATGCTATTTGGGACTCATCAGACCCTGTGGGTTTAACAGAAGCTGGGGAGCTGGGCCCTGAGATCTGCAGCTGCATTGCTGTAGTGGGTGTAAACCCAAGGAGTTTTCTTTACCCTGTGACCAGGACTCAGTAGCCACCTTTCCACCTGATAGAGCATGGCAAAGCATTTTCTGTTAAGGGCTCTCTAATCCTGACAGAGGTGGCAGTGGGGAGAGAAAGGTTGTGAAGAGGAGGGAGGTCCTGGAAGAGGAACAGCAGGAGGGCACTGGGAGAGTGGGAGAGCAGAGATGTGTAACTGTGGATGAGGAACAACATACACATGCAAAATTCCCAGGGAGCAGAAGACTGGGAGGAGTCTGAGATGATTTTGGGTGTGCTGCAGGGTGTCATCTGGGTACTAGTGCACAGCAAATGACTCAGGAGAAAAAAAATCACAGCTCCAGTATCAGAAGAGTGCATGGGGTGATCTGCAGAAGTAAGGAAGTGTGTGGTATCATCAGGGCATGATGAGGAGGCTCTGGAATAGGGGCAGTTTTACACTGATTTCCCCCATGGTGAGTGTGGCCACCCAGATTTCCTGCCTCTGTTTGTATATTTATTTCTTCAAGTTTGTATATTTTACAACATCAAATTTACTTGATTCATTTTTAAATAAACACATGCTGTAAGTTATCCATTTACATCCCTAGAGACCTATTTGTTGACTTCGCTTCTAAAGCATTAACCTGGGAATTTCTTGCTTTTTGTTGGGAAAAGACTAAGACTGCAGCAAAAGGTTTAGTCCACCTGCTGGCATCTCTGTGGGGCTGAGCAGCCCCCACTAACCAATATTAGCTCCTTTAAACCTGCCTCTCCCCCACCCAGTGCCTCGTGGTCAGTCTGCTCTGAAGGAAACTTGTTGGGAGGATCAGGAATGGGGGCTGGAGGCAGATGGAGACATATCTCAAAGCTCAGGGGTGCAAGACTCAAATGTTCAACATCCAGTAAGTGCTGCTGGTGCTGCTCATGCAGGCAATAACTACCTCAGAGCTTAAGTAATGCATTGGGTAGGCAAAACCAACACTGCTGGAAAAGGAAATGATGGCCTGGCTCAGGGAAGGGTCAGTAAATTCATCTGGCCATATAATTAGTGAATGTAAGATACAGGTGTACTGCAGGCATCATGCTGAAACAAAGCCCTTTTACAGAGTCCCTGCGGGGAGCAGTTTCGCGCTTCCTCTGGCAACATGCAAGTCATGAGTGTCAGTAAATCAGCAGGTGGGGGGGGGCTAAGGCAGTGCCCCAAACCCCAGTCATGCAGGGGCTGAGGTTGTAGGGGACCTCTGGAGATCATCTTGTCCAACCCCTGCTCAAGCAGGGCCCCTGAGAGCTGGTTGTCCAGGACCATGTCCAGACAGCTTTTGAGTATCTCCAAGGAGGGAGACTCTACAACCTGATCATTAATGAAGACGTTCAGAGGATTGGACAAAGGATTTGCAGCAATATTTTTGCTCCAGCACGTGCCATATAACTACAAGGAAGTGGGAACTAGAGAGCTGTGTATTACCCCGGCTTCCACCTGTTTGGGGAGCCTGGCGTGCAGCTGCCTCCTCTGGGGCTAATTGTTTGCTTGGAGTCAGGGGACTTGCACCCAGGGCAGGCACAACTCTGCTGCACAGTGCTAAAGTGGGGGAGCTGAATCACAGCCTTGTGCTCCCATGAGAGCCTTGGAAAACAGCAGCCAGCTGGCAAAGAAGTAAGAGGGGACTCAAACCGCCTTCCCTCCATCTAGGTCATAGAAGCACTGATACAGAGAAGGCAGCACATCTGCTAGGAGATGAGGAAAGCTGGGGTTATTCTGAGGGCAAGGGAGCCTGAAGCATGAGGGAAATAGGGTTTGAATTCCACAATGTCCAGTCACTAGTGGGGTTCTGTGGGTCTCCATCTTAGTCCCTGTTCTCTTCAACATTTTCATTAACAACTTGGACGCAGGAATCTAGGGCATACTAAGTAAGTTTGCATATGATGGTAAATTGGGAGAAGCTATCAACTTCCTTGAGGGCGGAGAGCCCTGCAGAGAGGCCTTGACAAATTAGAGAGATGGGCGATCACCAACCACAGGAAGTTTAACAAAGGCAAGTGCTGGATTGTGCACCTGGGATGGGGCAACCCTGGATGGTGTGTACAGACAGACCATGGAATGAGAGGCTGGAGAGCAGTGCTGCCGAAAGGGACCTAGAGGTCCTGGTCAGTGGTGAGCTGAATATGAGTCAGCAGTGCCCTGGCAGCCAGGAGGGCCAACTCTGTCCTGAGGGGCATCAGGCAAAGCATCGCCATCCAGTCAAGGGAGGGGATTGTCCCGCTCTGCTCTGCACTGGTGTGGCCTCACCTTGAATATTGTGTGCAGTTTTGGGCACTGCAATATAAGAAAGATCTCAAGCTATGAGAGAGTGTCCAAAGGAGGGCAACAAGGATGATGAAGAGTTTGGAGGTGAAGCCATATGAGGAGTGGCTGAGGGCTGTTGGTCTGTTCAGCCTGGAAAAGAGGACACTGAGGGCAGACGTCATTGCAGTCTACAACTTCCTCGTGAGGGCAAGTGGAGGGGCAGATACTGATCTATTCACTCTTATGAGCAGTGACAGGACTCGAGGAAATGGCATGAAGCTGAGTCACGGGAGGTTGAAGTTAGATATTACGAAAAGGTTTTTTACCCTTTGTAAAAGGCGTTTGGCTTTGGAACAGGGTCCCCAGGGAAGTGGTCACAGCACCAAGCCTGTGTGAATTCAAGAAGCATTTGGACACTGTGACTACAGTTGTGACTCAGGCTTGGGTGGGCTCTTGCTTCACTATTTCCCACTAATTACCTGGGGCTCAATTTGGGTAGTGCACTCAGATACTGTTAACTGAGTTTCATCTTTAAATAAAAAATCCTTTCCTTCCCTCTATCCAAATTTCTGTGGTATATGCAAAAAGCCCACAGCCACCTATAACTGTATCCTCTGGGAACAATTCCTTGAGGCTATCCCTTTACATTTCCAATAGCATTCCAACCACAGCAACGCACTCAGTCCATACAGCTGAACAGTAGCAAAGGCTGCTTTGCTAAACATTAAGAATTGCTGACTCCTGCTCCAGGCTGTGGCAGCCAAAAGAGGGAGATGTGACCATACTGACTAAGCTGACAAGGGCTGAGAGCCCTTACGTACTCATCTATGTAAATATTTATGATGAGAGCCCTTATTACTCATGTACAGCTAGTCAGAGCTTTAAGAAGTTCCTAGTGAATGTTTGCCCTGTGTTTCAAAATAGCTTTGGGGAATTTGACAAGCAATAAAATATACCTGGTTTTTGTTTTCTTCTTTTAATGACTTGGACCTGTCTACAGTGACTGAACCAGCCCTAGAAGCTCCCAGCTTAAGCAAATGTTTTTGAAAGGGTCCTTCTCTCAAATACACATCTCAGATCCTTATTTGGCATGAGGGAAACTCATGCTCCAGATTAGCATCCCTTGGTGAGCCTGCTCATAAAACATTGCTCAGCAAAATTTATGTCCCATTATATGCATCGGAAGGCCAGATTAATCCAGATTACAGTACAATTACCACATTTGAGAGATCAGACGTCACTTTTCATCTGGAGAAGACAGCAATTCCTCTGCCTCTTGTGCACAGAGCTGCCCTGTGTCGCAGCACCACTCTGGGGGAAGGTGAAGTGATGCACAGAGAGGCTGTGGAGATCAGTCTCAAAGATAAAAGAGGGTCCACCAGGGCAGACTGGTATCTCTCGCTGATAGCAAAAGCTTTTTCCCTTTGCACGCCATGAAATACAGTATTAACGTGAACCGTGGACCACGGGAAGGGAACTGGGGCTGTGCCAGGTGCCAGCTTCACAGCAGCAGCTACATGAGCTGTTCTCCCTTGACTTAATGAAAAGCTCCATTTTAGTGAGACAGTGGCAATGGAGCCATACAGTCTGGGCTGCATCCTCTTTTTTGGGGTGCCTCGGCTCACCAGCCTGCTGTAGCAGCTCAGGTGGACACACAACAGCTCAGGTGGAGAGATGAGCACAGTGAAAATGGGAGCTGTTTAACTGAGAGCTTCACCCAGACAGGGCAGTGCAGGTGGGCACCGAGACAGG